GCTCCCGTCGCCCCAGCCCTTCCAACACAGTTTGAATTTATTGTTGGAGATAGACCGGATCAACTCAAAGCCGGATCCAACCCAAGGCTACGATCGCATCTATCCAAGCGCGGCTGGCAGGTCTACTTGCTGCAGAACAATGGAGCCTCATCCTCTGGCTCTGCTTCCGCTCCAGTTGATGAAGTAGCTCAGCAACGCGAGGACAGGGCTAAGCGAAAGAAGCGCAAGCGACAACTGCACACTGTCACTTGGGAACTTCCTACCGCCGGTGATCCTGATTCTCATGGAGCTTCAAACAATGCGCTGGCCCAGTCCTTGATGCGGACCAATGCCGCAAGAGCCGCTCCGCCGCTGACCATTGAGTACCAACTTGGAGGCGGACGCGTTGATCCTTTCAGAACGTATCCTGCACCATGGAAGCCGTATATCCCCCAGTTGGTCGATCACTGTGAGTTCAGCCCTTTTAAGATCCGCCCAGGGATAGGCACATTCGGCCAAGCCAAGCATAAAATTGAAAGGTGACGCTAACACACTGACACAGACATCGTCCACATGGCCGTCGATATCCCTGAGCTTGATGAGCCTGGTGAAAGGGGTCTTCTTCGTAGCCGCTGGTTCCGTCTCGCGACAACGGAAATATCCACCTTCCAAGTCGTTCTGCTCTTATCCGCGGGTAACTTTATCACGGTCAAGGACGGCAAAGCCTCTGAATCTGGATTTGAAATGGAGCAGCTTAGGCTGGATGCCATCCAGTCCATCAACATTGCCATGGGTTCACCACATAAGTGCAGTGACTCCATCATTGGAGCAGTGGCCAAGATGGCGAGCTTCGAGTCTATGCACGGCAATGAGTCGCATTTTAGACTTCACATGGATGCTGCCAAGAGGTTGGTCAACATGAGAGGTGGCTTGCACAACCTAGGCCTGGGAGGACTCTTGCGAAGAATGCTCATTTGGATCGACTTGAACGGCGGACATTTGTTGAATACGCCTCGATGGTTCCCAGGACAAACTTTCCAAGGGGGCGTAGAGGAGATTGTGGAACCTAACCCAGAGCGTTTCATTGCTGTTTAAAGACGCCAAGGGCAACCTTTTTGAGTTTTTGATCTTGTTTTGGTTATTTGCTTTTTTTTATATGTTCCATTCCGTTTCTTTCTAATGGGTGTAAGCGTTTCGGGAAGCGATTCTGGGAAATACCAGACTAATGGTTATTACAAGTGTGTTTTCTCGAATGGAACCGTACCTTTGGTAGCAAATAATAGTGTCTTCTGTTTCGTACTCTGATACTCAAGGTCTTTGACCAAAATTCTACATCAAGGCGAGTCAATTGTAAAACAATCTCGGTATATACACACGATGCAAGAGAGGAATCAAACAAGGACAAAGGAAATGTTGGTGTAAACAGCACGCAAACACGCCAAGGCAAAATGGTATCCATCAAGAATCAAACGCTCCATCAATCTTTTTGTTTTAAAAAACGCAGCTCTCGCTTCCTTTCGACCTGTCACCATATCTTGCACTCTCTCCACATCCCCTATTCACCATTCAATTAAACGCCCCCTGATTGTATGCCATACTTTCAACAACTGCTCGATTCAAAGCAAATTCGCAATTCAATCAACGCCTCGAAAACGTCTGCGACGCATCAACCAACAGCGTTGCGGTTAGCAACACCGCGTTGAAGCCCGCCATCATGTAAAACGGCGTGCCGTTCGACACCTTGTCGAACAAAAGGCCGCCGAGCTTCGTGAGGATCAGAATCGCCGCGCCGCCGCACAGCGAGTACACGCCCGCAATGGATCCCTTGAGCCGCAGCCGCGACACAAACTCCTCTTCGGTGGCGATGCGGATCAGGGGCTCCGACTCGGTGGACTCGTCCTCGTCGGGGGCGATGGAGTGCTGGCGGCGGGCGTTGCGGGGGATCTCGACGGCGAGGATGCCCTTGCCGAGGGAGCCCAGGCTGCACACGATGGAGCCGATTTGGCTGATGCCGATGAGCGTCACGATGAGGAAGATGGCCGGTGTGCCGCCTCTGCCGTCGACGTCGCTGATTTCGGGGCTCGAGAGCCGAGGGAAGATGATGTAGCCCACGATACCAAAGATGGCGGCCACGACGACAGGGTAGTTGACCCTGCCGGGTTGGCGAGATAGATAGCCGAACACCGGGGCGCAGATCAAGCCCATGAGCTGTGCGACGCCGGTCAGGATGGAGGATAGGACGTATGCTTGGCGGCACTCCTTCTTCAGCTCTGGCGAAGGGTCGTTTGGCGAGCCCTGGCAGAATCCGTTGCCGATGAAGAAGGTGTTGATGTAAAGAGGGACGAAGAGCGATATGGCAACGGTAGATGCTCGGGCAACGAAGCCGCCAAGGTAACCCAGTGCAATTCGTGAGTCGGTAAAGCCAAGAAGCACCGAGTCTTTCATCAGGTGAAGATATGGAATCACCTAGGAGTCGATGTTAGTAATGGAGTGCGATTGGATACGCGGCTGCTTGACTCTTGCGATCCGTACCTTGCCTTGTGTCCTTCCGGGGTAGTCGTATGCGATGGAGTCGCTATCCCGTCCCTTTAACCCGAGAAGCAGCCTCCATCCTTTTCCTTGCTCTCCTTGGATGTTGCGGAGGCCAAAGAAAACGAAGACGGCAACAAGCAGCGCAACAGCGCCGACAACATAGAAGCTGTACGACACCGCCTCTCCGGGAGTCACGCCGTCAACCTCGCCGAACCTGGCGGGCAAGGGCAAGAAGCACGACAGCGCCAGCAACGCGCCGCAGCCGGTGAAGAGGCCGACATAGCCCGCCAGCACAGACGACTTTCCCGACCGGCCCTGGGGATCTACGCCGGCCGAAACGGGCCTCCCCTCGCTGGACAGCGATCGCGAATACACCTCGGGTGTAATAGTAGCTTCCGATTCGACGGAAAAGGCGGCGCTGAGGCGCGCCACGGAGTGGTGATTCCGCGCGGCAGCCTTGGCCCTCTCGAGGGCATTGTTGCGCAGCTCCTCATCTTCGTCTGTTAGCGAAGGGAGTATGGCAGTTACCATTGTGGCCCTGGAACTCAGCATTGCGCGTTAGCTATCAAAGCACTGAGAGACACAGTCGGCATTCCTCCGCCCGGTCCATGGAATCGAAAGATGCAGCACATACGTAGCCGATGCCCCCAGCGCAAAGAGGATCCTCGCGAGCAGCAGCTGGGGATAGACATTCCGGGCCTGCACAAACACCACCAGCGACAGCCCTACAATGGTATATCCGATGACGGCAACCCATCGCACGCCCAGGCGATCCGATACGAGGCCCCAAGCGGGACAGGCCACGAGGGCGACAATCTCGTCTGCGAAGCCCAGCGTGCCGACGACGTCGCCCACATCGTTCTTCTGCCCAATGAGGTCGGTTATGACAAAGGAAACGGAGCTGTTGAGGAAGACGAGGAACGAGATGGAGAAGAGCGATATGCCCAGCAGGTATGTCACAGCTTGGGTTGGAGTCGTCGAGGCCGCAAAGGGCAAGAAGCGCTGGATGGAGGACGGCATTGCTGGAGGCTTATGGTTTTGCCTCTTTGCGCGCGCGCGCAGGGCTTTCTATGGAGTTGTATAAGTAAGGGTTCGTGATTTGCTTCGTCTCGTCTGCGGGTGTTATTATATTATCGCGAGCGGGCGAAGAGCAATTGGATGCGATTTGGAATTAAAAGGCCTCTGTAAGCGGGAAGCGGCCCGAGAAGTCACATGGCGATACGAGATGCGCAAGGCTGGGAATAAGATGCAACGGAAGAAGCTAAAGATAAAGACGGTGAATGCAAAAGGATATTGAAAAAAAGGCCTGCTTTTTTTCTTCTATTGTTTTGGTGGTGTGTTGTTTTTCGGTACGATTTTTTGGAGTCTGATGATGACGGACATGAGCTTCTTAGTGCCCGGAGCTCGGTCTTTATTTTGGTTCGGCCAATCGGAGGGCGTGTTTGATCGGCAGAGGTATTTGGTAGGTACTAATTTGATATCCCTTGACCATTTGATCACATGGAGACGCGCTTCGGCAGATGGAGTATGAAGAACGCACAAAAATCGGGCAAACAAGTAGGTAAGATCTATTCAGGCTTAGATCAGTATGTGTGTTGATAGTAAGATGCAAAGCTACTTGATTAAGAATACTTGATGTGTCACATCTGTTGCCGTATCAGTGACTTCAATCTCACACATATCCCGTCATATACCCATGCCGAGGCGACTTGTTGGTGATAAGAGAGTTGCTAACGAAAGCTAATATTGTCGCGAAAACCCATACCAGCTTACAAAATAGCGCTAATCATACTAAGTTTTGATGTTGCCACCGGCTTATGAGGATTCCATGTCTCAGGTTCAGGTGAGGGAGAAATCGGTTTGTATGGCTTGGCTTGGCTCTAGGGTAGTTGCCATTGAACAGTCCAATCGTCAAACTTGACTTGGCCTGGTTCAAGGGGCATATTGGAATTCAAATTTGGACCCGAACAATGCTTTGTGTAGTAGATACGAGGGCTTACGAATTATTTTTGAATTGGTATAAATTCTCGCGATATGTTTGGTGCATGGGTGGTGGACATCTGCTTACACGGGTTGTCTTGGTGCTACAACTGTCAACCCAGCAGAGAAATGAATCGATACAGAAGGTGGAACATGAGATTAACAGCAACAAAGAATTGGACAATTTATCAATGGAGAATACACCTTCACTTTACCACATGAATAAATATTCCATTGCAAATATTCTGCTTTGTACGGCACAAGAAGGACGATATGTTGCAGTACTCCCTTTGCGCAGGGATTCTTCGGATCAACTAAAATCCGCCAATTCCAGGAACAAGTTATCTTATCGCTCTGAGATCGCGGGAGGGTTCATCGCAATTGGCGTGTCTGCGCGTTCGGGAACAAGAAACAAGATGACGAGTGCACTGTAGCATTTCTCCTCGTCAACGACACTGCATAACGCCATCTGCCATCTGTTTTGACGCCAAAGGAGCTACACCATCAACATGGTCGGCAAGGTCTCCGAGAGGGTGCTCCTCAGAGAGGGTACGTGAACATGGCCAGTTTCGCATCACTTGGCATCTCCGGTTCTGGGTCGACAGATGAGCCCATCGATGCTGACGCTGAAAAAAAAAAACTGCATAGGGCTGGAAAGAACCGACAATGGCATGAAATTGACGTCGTGGCCCGATGTCACCCCCATCAACCAGAAGAATTACTACACGTGAGACTCACCTGCGACTCGAGTGGCTGGTGCTGGTGCTGGGCGACTAACTCTGGGAGTAGAGATTATATGAAAAGGGATGACCAGGTCCTTGCGCTCCGACTCCAAAGCGATGCGACTCGCGACAGACTAGTACAGAGTGCCCGAGATCGTGACCGCGCTCTTTCAAAGCCTGCCAATGGCGAGCTGCCCCTACCACTGCCGGACCTCGGCGAAGAGGATGGAGCGGCGACTCCCTCAGGTGGAATGGATCCATCGAGGGTCATTGTGATTCACCCCGGAAGCCAAAACTTACGCATCGGATTTGCGAGCGACGCCCTTCCCAAGACGATCCCGACTACGTTGGCAACCAAATTCCCCCAGACCGAGTCCGAGATGTACGAGGCCTTGCCCCGACGTCAGTTCGAGGCCAAGACCACGGACCAACAATATGGAGAAGAGTGGTCCAAGAAATATCAGAAAATGTGCAACGACCTCAAGGTCGAAATGCGTGCCAACAAGCGAAAAGTGCTTCCCAATTCCAAGGAGCTGGTCCAAACCTTTAACCGCCGTACCGAAGCCGAGATCATCCAGAGGCACAATGACGTGCTGGAAGTTGAATGGACAGATATAGAAAAATTGGAGGACCCAGAGTCACTAGCATCTTGCTTCATCGGGAACGAAGCGCTGCGAGTCCCCGACGATTCAAACCCAAAGTTCAAGCTGTGGTGGCCTATACAACAAGGATACTGGAATGAGGATGGATACACGAGCCAAGAGCACCTCTACGATGATTTCGAAACCCTCCTGGACAAGGCCCTACGTCAAGAGCTGGGCCTAAAGACAAATAGCGAGTGGCAACAGTACAGCTGTGTTTTCGTCATCCCCGATCTCTACGACAAAAAGTATGTGGAGCAGATCCTGCGGTCTTGCATGACCTGGTTCGAGTTTAGCAGGGTATGCTTTATCCAGGAAAGCATGGCGGCCACGTTTGGAGCTGGATACACCCAGGCCTGCGTCGTCGATGTCGGTGCCCAGAAGACTGCGGTGACGTGTGTCGAAGACGGGTTGTGTATCGATGACTCGAGAATCAACCTCAAGTACGGAGGATATGACATTACGGAAACGTTCATCAAGATGATGCTCTATGATAACTTTCCCTATCAGGAAATCAACTTGCGGAGAAGATACGACTTCCTGCTGGCCGAAGAACTCAAGTGGAAGCACTGTACCATGTCGCAGGCGAACATTTCGGTGCAACTTTTCAACTTTCACGTGCGAGCACCCAACCAGCCTACGCGGAAATATGCGTTCAAGGCGTACGATGAAGTGATTCTGGCGGCCATGGGGGTCTTTGAGCCGTCAATCTTTGACAACAGCACAAAGCTCAGGGGCCGAAGAAAACTAGTCGAGCGTTCATACAACGCCTATGACGTGGATATTCCCGACGACCCGTCCTCTGCCGCACAGCTTGCCGTTTTGGCACTGGTAAAGCCGTCACTCATGTCCAATGCAAATGGCTTCTCCCAGTCACAGCCCGAAGCGTCCACGCCGAGTAAAGAGAAGCCGTCGTTCAACTTCCTTTCCACCAAAGCCGAGACGGCGACGGGAACCCCCATGGCATCGCATGCTGGGTCGCCAGCGCCTGAGGGTGCCAATACTCCGGTTCCACCTCCCTATGTCTTTGGAGCCAACAAAGATGGCGTCAATGGCGATAGCCCTGCTCTAGGTAGCATTCGGACGGCCGGCACACCAGTTCCGGGACAGTCACAATCCACTCAGCCGCCTCCGGGAATGTTTGTGGACGCAGCTGCACGAGGTTCTAAAGAACTGGCGACTGAGAGAGACGAGGTGCTGCCCTTGGCGCCGCTGGACATTGCCATCCTCACAAGCATTCACAACGCCGCTAAGGGCGACGAGAAGAAGGTTCGCGACTTGCTGGGCAGTATCATGGTCATCGGCGGCGGCGCCAAGGTCCCACAGTTCACGGTGGTTCTGGAAGAGAGGCTCAAGGCGCTGAAGCCCGACCTCAGCGATAGGATCCTGGTCAGCAGAAGCGCGAGGGACATGGACGAGCAGGTCGTGACTTGGAAGGGAGCCAGCGTCTTTGCCAAGCTGTCAACCAACGATTCGTGGATCACGCCGTTTGAGTTTGAAAGACTGGGCGCCCGTACGCTCCACCACAAGGTGCTCTGGGCTTGGTAGATGGAAGTTGGCTGTGTTGATATATACCTCTGTGCGCGGCATGCCTGGACCTGGACACGAAAGGAGAGGGCACAAGGATTAAGAGGGAGCATTTGGAGTTTTTATTTTATTTTATTTTCCCCGGTATCGCTAAGGATATAGGAGGAATTGGTTGGTTTGTAATTACAGGTTGTACCGCGATCATTAATAGGTCTCTCTGCAGTAGAGCAAAAAAAGGACAAGAACGATTTAATAGAACTCGAGACGCAGGATATGTGGTATTGCTGTGGGCTATATACTTTGTATAAAATTCCCATTTGTTTAGATACGACAATCGTCTTGGAGTTCTAGCAGAACAGTGATGCCGCATATGGACGTGTGCATTGGAGAGGACCAGAGCTATTACAGTTACAGCATGTAGGAGGAGCATCAGCATCCCATGAACCACTTGAAGGGCTTGTACTCGTATATATTCTCCCTGTCAGCACGGCAACTTTATTGGCCCGGAAATACGCAAATACGCAAGAGGGTGGCAATGCGGTCAACATGAAGTCCACGGGACATGTAGAGAGCAAGGAAGCACAACGTAATGGTTGATAAATACTCAGTTACTTGGTAAACCAACACTTGGACATCATTGAGCCTAAAGTCAGTTGGGGCATAATTAGGTCGAGATGAAGTTGGGAACCTCGGGAATAACTGCATGTACATGTACTGCAAGTTGACAATCCAGGTGAAATAAGGCGAGGAGACGCATGTACTCCGTAATGAGGGGCTTGGTGACATTGAATCTTGCCGTCGGTGAGGCGGGAGAGTGCGAGCCAATGAGCGACGGGCCGTAGGATTGCGTTTGAGACGAGACTGGGAGGTCTTGATGCACTAAGATTCGGGAGGACATGACCAACGAATGACTGATTATTTTCTTTGCTTTTTATTGAATCCTTGGCCAAGTTTGATGGTACACACGGATGCTCTCTTAGTAACTTCAATACAAGATGTGTATCAAGTTAGTACATCTCTGGCGGCCAACCCAAATTCACCAACCCGGTTGATGCTCAAATCAGCTTCTGCCAGCGAAATGCGCTCCCTTGCATCGAACCCCGTCCGCCCGCATACGAGCAGTACACCCATGGCTATTTTAGGTCGGTTGGAACGACTACAGGTAGGTACTAGGAAGGTAGCCCCAAATGCCGGAGCGCATCGTGTTACCTGATTGTTTGTCTTGGGATGCTGTATTCCCGCGAACCCCGCAAATTGCCTGATGCTTTACTGTACCTAGCACTGTCTTGAGTGCGACTCTGCTGCACGGTAGAAACCGGCTCTTGCACCAGGGATAAGGGATAGGCGGTGGAGGGGTGGCATGTTGCTACAGTATTAGGTATAGGCGATGACGAGGTGCTTGCACACGATATTCTACCTAGTAGGTACTTGTCGGTATTTACAATGGATTTGATGCTTGATGGCGTTGAAAAGGGACTTATTTCAAACTCGTCTAGATGTAAGCCAGCTTTAGTACATGTAGTTGGTAGTAACAGTAGTAGGCTGGTGCTAAGCATTACAGAGCCCCATTGCACGCCATCACACACAAACTTACACACAAAGTCCAAGTCTAAATCCAGTCAACTGCTATAAATACCTTACCTACTACCTTGGTATTGTCTCTCACACGTGTTATATGGCCCTTGTCCTTCTTTGTCGTCACCGATCGCGCAAACATGGCCGGGGATATCAGTGGATCTTGATTGGCAGCAGTTGGCCAATCCATTTGCTCCCATTTTCCCACCTGTCGCTACCTAGTACTATCCAAGGCTACCTAATTCCATCCCCGCCATTATTTTCAAAGCGGGCAGACGACAATCCTGTGGCTGCTGACGCCCCAGAAGCTTCCCCTTGCTTAACCAACTCAACTAGCTCAACCAAAAAGTGACGTGTGATTTTCTTTTTATCGTCTCATCCGGTGATAAAAGGTGCTATATATACTATCAGGGATTTCCCTTGAGGGCTTCCCTTGATTCCAAAGCCTCATTGTCCCCGAGCTCTTCACTCGCCTCACACTTGTAAGTGACCGTGACACTCCAGCAGCTGCTCATCACAGCTCCGCATCATGGCGTCTCTCTTCGCCAGCAGCGGCGATGGCCTCGCTGGTCGGCTGGGGTTGAGCCCGTGGGTGCTGTACTCGGCCGCCGGCTTCACTTTCTACGCCGTCCTCTGCTCTTCGCTTCGATTCCAGAGACTCAAGACGATGCGCAAGCGCCTCAACTTTCCGGATCGAGAGTCCTTGTCTCGCATGACCAACGAGGACGCGCAAAGGATTGTCAGCTACATTAGCCTCTACGAGTTTCCGCTTCTCTACGACTTTTCACTTAGATATGCGATTTTCAAGGTGGGCTCACACGTCTCTCGGTTTTAAATTGTCCGCTTGGCTAACATTGATGCAAATCCACTAGACCTACGCTGTGGACAACATCGGCAATCTGCTATACAAAGTCAGCGATCTTGCCAAGCCCACCAAGGCTTCTAAACGGTAACACTACACCTCGATATACTAACAGATGGACTATACTGACGCTCGATGATAGATATGACGACACGCAAGTCTTGTTTGCCAGGTAAGCTTGCTCTACTTGTCTCATATGCTGCTATCCAAAGATGAAACTCTCATGTTGACACCACATCTCTTAGTTATGCCGAATTCCCCCCCGGATCCGAATACTTGGCCAAGAGCGTCGCTCGCACAAACTTCTTGCACGCTCCGTACATACAATCCGGCAAGATTCGCAACGAGGACATGCTCTATGTCCTCTTCGAATCCATGTATCAGCCGGTCCGCTTCATGCGGCTCTACGAGTGGCGAGAGATGGACGACATGGAGGTGGCGGCCGTTGCCCAGTTTTGGAAGTACATTGGCGAGATGATGGAGATTGACTATGAAGCCGAGCTGGGCAAGAAAGAGTGGAAAGACGGCATTGACTTCCTAGAAGACGTGCAACGGTGGGCAATCGGGTACGAGAACGAGCATCTCGGCCCCTCGCCCGACATTGCCAAACTCGGCCAGGTCTTGGTCGACTTGCTCTTGTCGGCATATCCCAAGTTCTCGCGGGAGCCTGGATACAAGATTCTCATGGTTCTTATGGGCGAACGCATGCGAGACGCTTTCAGGTAAGTTTGTTGTCTCTCTTTTCTCGTATCCTGCCGCAATATTGTTGACATGCACGCAGCTTCCCCGAGCCTGGAGTGCCGGAGTCTGCTCTCACATATCCTCTTCTTCTCGCACGAAAGCTCTTCATCCGCTACCTATGCCTGCCACGCTTCTATCCCGCCACATTCATCAGCCAGCCGGATCCAGTGACGGGCCGCATCAAGCACTATCATTGGCTAAAGGATCCCTTTTACTCTCCGTCTTCTTTCTGGTCCCGCTGGGGCCCTGAAGGCTTGATGCGGCGGGCATTTGGTCTAAAGGTAGCTGGAGACGGCGGTGCAGCCATGTTGCCGGATGGGTTCTTGTTTGAGGACGTTGGGCCGCAAGACAAGATGGGCAAGGGAGTCGATGAGACTGCACGCCTGGCCAGAGTGGCACAGACAAAGGTGTCTGCTTCAGCGTGTCCTTTTGCACTGCCCAGGAAGGGTTGAGTTGAGGCTTGAGGCTGTACTCTGTAGAATCGAGGGAGAACAATCTTGGACAGCTTCCATTCCACAATGAACCACTGCCGCCGCCACCTCTTGCGATGCGCGTTTGAATCTTGGTCATCTTGCCTCCTTTCAATTGAATGTCTATCTAACCGTCTGTTTTATAGCCTCTTGTGCATATCTAGCTCAAAAGGGAAATGTGATTAAATACCCAGAATTGGCAACATTGAAATCACAAGCCACTGCACTCAAATTGTTACTTCCCCACAAGAGCTTGAGCTTGAACGGTGGCGCATGGGACCAAAGTCACCTGATGAATGTCACTCGAATGACGTAGTTCAGCCTCCCTTGTGCATCTCCAGCCGCTCCAAGGCAACTGTCGCCTCTTCAAAACCAAAAACAACACCCATCACTTAGATCTAGGTACCCTTTGGAACTCGAACTAAGCATCTTATTGCCACTGCGCTATAAAATATACAAGTCTCCCTTGCGCATCACTCGTTACTCACAGCGACTTACAACAATTACAATCCATTACAGTTACACAGCACCACCCACGAACAGCACCTCACTTTATATCATCTCTCATTAGGTTGGTCGATCGATTTCTTGCTTCATTCGCTCAACATGCCCCCCGTACCGGTATACACTGCCAGCCCCATCCATGCCGCCTCCAAGGCATCGGGCATCACTCCGAAAACAGAAGCCGTAGAGGGAAACGAGCCTCACGTGCAGCCGTCGCCGTCGAAAACATCGTCAGAGGCTTCAACAGGATATCCTCCTGCGCAGCCAGGTGCCAGGCCTTCATTACCCGTTCAGACTGGCGCCCCGGAATCATCCGATAGGTACAGACCAACACCAACTTCGACTCAGGCCGACACAAGCCCTCCGCCTCCTCAACCCGGCGCTGCGCCTTCACCTCCAGGGAAAAGCAGCTTGCCACCTCCTCCCAAGGCCGGAGAGTCCGTCCAGCAACGGCCCCGATCGCAGACCTTGCCCATGCCGCCTCAGATGCTTTACCCATCGCCGACGACGAGCTACCAAACCCACCAGAGAGGCACATCAACCTCCGTTTCCACAGCGTATTCGCCTAATGTGCCGCAGCCAACGTTCTTACAAAGCAGTGAAAGCACCGAGCCGGACTTTTCGCACCCTCCGGGCTACCAGCAGAACATCCACGCCGCGGATTTCTCGCGGGACCAGCGGGAGGCTCACAACGCCTCGTTTGCTCGAGATTCTTACCAAAACTACGAGGAAGAAGACGGCATCTGGAACACGGCCAAGAAGTGGGCGGCGGCGGCGGGAGACAGCCTTGCGGCAGCAGAACAGGAAGTCTGGAAGAGAATCAACAAGGACTAGGGCTCCCACCACAGACGACGAAATGATCCGCAGGATGGTACAGACGGTGGCACCATGACTGTCTGAGCAACGTGGCCGGAGAGATGCAGCGAGCTTAAGCGACGGATTGCGGTGCGCAACGGTGAATATTGAACGTTGTTGCTATATCGACCGATTGCCGGGTAGGTAATTGAAATTAAGGCAGACCCATTAGCGAAATTTACTACTACTAGATACAAATGCGACCTGTTGTCTGTTTTGTCCAATCCAATTCTTGTAAGCGAGAAGCCTTTATCTACCTATGGAGCCAAACATTTCCCCATGTCTAGCTTGTGTGCATCATCGCCCGTGCCAACGATGGCGGTGGCGAAAAAAAAAGGAAGAGGAAAAAAGAAAAAAGAAAAAAGAAAAAAAAAAGAGGGCGAACATGTTTGTGCGTCATGCAAGACAGATTGGTTCAAAGGACCAAAGCGGCGACAAGAGGAGAGAGAAGATCTTGAATCAAGATTCTGACGCAATATACCCGTACAGATCCGTTGACAGGGTTGTTTACGAGATCGACACTAGGCAGTTTAGCACCCTCTGGTTGGCCTCGAAGTTATATATAGCTCTTTAGCTGGGATCTGAATCTGGCGCGGAATACGCCTGGGACTGGGATGGGCTTCATTTCGCAGCTGCAGTCGAGTATCCAAAACAGTGGGAGTCTTGTCGGCGACGCCATGGGACGTTTCAACGGGTGAGCTGACTCGCCCTGGCTCCCCATTGGGCTTCGTATTCTTGTTATATTTCCGGAGCTTCTCTTCCCCCCCCCAGAGGCATCCGACGACGACGTAACAACGGGCAGAAAAGGGCCCTTTTCAAAACTCGTTTCTGCGGTTTGAATGACGGATGACCCTTTCCTTTCCATCTTCAAGTGGCATGATAATTGATGCTTCAGGCTTAGGGCGCTGGCGTGTAAAACGGATCTGAAACGCGTATAGACGGTTAGTCGGGGCGCCATCCCTGTCGGTACCGCGCCGCCCGCTTGTGTCGGCTGCGCGGGCCTTGTACCTCCTAGTGTAGGGCTGCGGATTAAATAAGCCAATGAGGAGTGCCGAGTAATTAAACTGCGACAATCCCCTGGCGCTGCCACGAACGGCTGGGCAAATCACAGCGCGGGCAGCGTCGCATCAGGGCAGCTTCAAACGCATCTCCACTGTGTTTCTTGTTCTTGTTCTTTCTTTTTTCCCCCGTTTTCCCAGGTTGAACCCCTCCATCTCGGGTCCGTCTCGAGGCGAAGACGGTCCGTCCGGCCACTCTTTTGCTGGTTCTCTCGGCTCAACTCGCTGGCTGGCTGGCTGGCTGACCTGAGGATGGGAGGGGGTGTCGTCGTGCCGTTGTCGTCCAGACAACTAAACTCGGGATTCCGGATCAAGACAAAGAGGGAAATAATCAGGAATGAGCAAAAAAGAAGACAAGAGCGGATTCTGCAATTACAATCGTCGAGGGCTAATGCGGCCCAGTGGGCGCTGGACAGAGCTCCGGTGCCACACCCGTGGATCGCCCTGGGGCTGCATGTCAATGGCAATGGACCACTGCCGAAGAGTCAGTCTCCGGTTCTTGGTGAGAAGGTTACCCTTAATCTATTGCGGGGGTCTCGACCTCCGTTGGTTTGCGGCCAAGCGTTTTACCTGCTTCCGCATATGGCTCTTGACACACGCTTGTCCAGGGCGGCGGGCTCGTGATCGGCTTCAAGGCCGACTCGGTCATCTCCTCTTGCAGCGGCGACACCGTTTCCCTGCAGGCGTGATCTCGCAGCTGGGCATCTCGCATGCAGCTGTGTGCCGGATTTTGTCTCACGGGCTGGTCGGAGAATAGCCGCCTGGTTGGGCCGCAACACACGACACCACTTGGAGGGGGGGACGGAGGGACGGACACCACCATAGAAACGTCATCATCACACTTTCGGTGGGATCCAGTCAGCGGGGGGGGGGGGGGGGATTGTGAAGCACTGGGCTCGTGACCGTTGCTGCAATTGGCTTGGTTCGACCTTTGTTGTTGTTTGGGCCTTGGACCTTGGGGCTTGTGAGCTGACGATTTGTCTTGTCATGAATGATCTGATCGAAGCCAGAACGAGCAACGTTTCCATCTCCTTGCTTCGGATTCCGGGCCCGGCCTGTGAGTGATTGATTCCTGGCCTGGTCACTCACCCCCGCACTAGGATAGTAGATGGATAGATTGGGATTTCGTCTGCTACCCCTCCAACTCGTCTCTCTCCGTTCCGTACCCAAGGATTGGGCGGCCTTCCCGACTGCCTGTGTGGATCGTGGCTGTCTTGCTGGAGATTACCGTGTTATAGCATCTGGCCAGCTGGTCGTCTCTATTTCTTCTTTGGTGCGGGTCTCCGTGGCCTGAAGCTTCTCCCGTTCTTCTAGCTTCGTTTTAGCCGGGTTGGCTCTTTGCAGAAGCAACTATCTTTAGAACCCCGGGCTGCAAGTGTAGCCGTTGGCGTCAAACCCTTGGACTGGGCGTACGAGTACTTGGCCGTATCTGATGTTTACTGTCATGCCTTGCGGCGGCTAGATTCTAGGCTGATGCGAGCGAGCCATTAGATCGGATTTGCATCGCAGATTTGACCTGGGAAAAAAAGGGAAAATCTGGAGACGGCAATGCAATGCGGGTTTCGGCGCACTTTGAGCTTTGACTTGACTCGAGGCAACGGAAACCAAGATCATGATGATATGTATGTAGGTACCTAGGTAGGGCTAGATGCATACCTAGTACTGAACCAAGGAAACGAGCATCGCACCGTACATACTCTGTATATCGGACAGCACCGTACTGTAGCAGTGTTGGATGTAGTACTCGTATGGAAATGGACATGGCCCTGGACCGGATATGGAGACGGATCAATATGGATAAGGATGGAATGGGGCTCTTGAGACTGGGACTGGGACAGGGACTGGGACAGGGCTCGAGCTGATGTTGCCTGGATGTCACGTTATGTGACGCATGCGACGTGCGGACGAGTTGGTACGTACTACTACACTGCATATACCTGGTACAGGTACGGAGTACTAAGTACTCGTATGCTCTCAACTCCTGGTGGCAGGATTCCATTAGGATGGATTAGGATTCTTCCATGGCCGTCCCCTTGGCTCAGCTGCTGCTGCTCGTGACGCTGCAAGTCGCAACTTATTTTCCGAACGTCAGGTTTCGTCCTTCTTTTTTTAGTCGACGAACCCACCCAAGCCGGCCGGCGACACAAGCTCTAGCCCTGAGCCCGTTCCGTGGTCATGGCGGCAGTTTTTCCCAGACAAGATCAATCAGGTTACCTTCAACGTTATGCCTGGGAGATGAAATCGCCCTTTCGGTCTCAACTCGGCTGCCCTGACTAGCCGGTATTGCGACCACTAATATTCTACCGGCCCTGTGGACCGTGCCCGGACAGGGATTCAGGGTTTTGGGCTCCCCAATATCGAACCAAGAAAAAAAAAGAAAACGAAGATAAATTGCATCGCTTAGATGTCTGCTTAGTTAAGGTGGCGTCATTTTCAGCGCCGGCCCTGGTCTGGCCTGTGGAAAGAGGTGTTTCTGATCTGAGCATGGATATGGGATATGGATATGGATATGGATATGGGATGATGGCGAGAAGAGCTGGCGGTGATTGCGGAGGGGGGGAAGAGGCACCTCGTCTCGCCTCACCTGGCGGACGACCTGACAGGAACAGGGGAAAACTGACGGCGGCTGTTGGTTGATGGACTGGACTGAACTGAACGGAAGCTTGTGATGATGGGCTGCCATGGGATCTCTCTCTTCTCGGACTAAACTAGAACTGGATTGACGGCTTATACTATACTCACCCGGACTACTGTTCCCCAATGCTCAACTTTCAGCCTTCTTCTTCTTCTCTCTCTCTCTCTCTCTCTCTGCCGGCGTAACAACTAGACGCGCTCTTAGTCGCCTGACTGACGTGTCCGGCAGCGAAATGGAAATGGAAATGGAAATGGAAATGGACATTCGTCAACTCGACTGAACCCAACGAGAAGGGGCCCCGTTTATTGCCTTGATTGGTTTCACTCGCTCTCTCGAATCGTTTCAGTGCCTCTCTTTTGGCTTAACTTGAGGCCACAGGCGCGTTGCGGCCGATCTCAGCAGTGGTTTGCTGATTGGTCCAGCAGCTCCTTGAAACCCCCAGCCTGGCCTTTTACCCCTGTCTCCCAATCCTCTTTCTGCCCACTTTCCTGTCTGTGCCTTGCGGGTACGCCAATGCAGAGAGCCGACGGCCGTTCGCGCATGTAATGTAGGTACCTACAGACTGGCCTGGCCTGGTTGTAAGCCCGGCTCCTCCTCTGCACCCCATACTGGGCTTCTGGGATCGCGAGAGGCGCGGCCGGGGGGTGTCTGTCTGGGCTGGGCTGGGTCTGGGTCTGCAACGGGACCGGCATTCAGCGTTCTCAAGCCCCGTCAGTTTGGCTCAAACTACCTACGGAGCACGGAGTAGGGCCACAAGAGCATGGTGGTATTTTTGTTTTCGCTGGGGGTGGATGCCAGTCCGGCTTGGGCTTGCTCAGGGTTGCCTGCGGACGACTTATACATCAGTCCCCTGCCCGAGGCGACCTTCGCTCTCTCCGGAATCAATCATCCAATTCGATCTGCTTGTACTGTAATCGCATCGAATGCCCCGTCACTCTTAATCTCCCCCCTCCTCCTGTGCTGAATTGAGAGCCGGTTCTCTTTTCCGTTCATTTATCACTTTCCTGCGGGCCGCTTCACGATCTTTTTACGATTCCCTCATCTCATCTGCATAATCTTACATGCCCAACTTCTCATATACTACCCTCACTAGCAGCCTCTTGCTGCCCGTCCCTCCTTGTCTCCCTCCCCCCCTTTCTCTCTTTTCTCTCTTGGACAAACCACCCCTCCTCCCTCCTTGGACGTGGACCTTTCGAGTATACCCCCTCCTCCTCTCAAAAGCTACCAGACGATCCCTTTTTCTTCCCATCCGGCCGCTCTGGACACTCCTTTCTCTCTCCTGGCCGCTGGAATACCACCCGAACGATATCAACTATACTTTGACGCCATCACGGATTAGTGTAAGTGGCAAAGACTCTTATAACAAAGGGAACCCTGGTTGTGCCCATTGACAACACAGTCTCCTTAACCCCGGTTCCCCTTTGCCTAAACGGTGTTGCATGACCGTCTCCAACCGCCGCCCGCTGATCAGCGAATAGGACCTGGCCATCAGTCTCGACCGTTTAAGATTATTAAGAGCAAAAAAAATCCCCTTCGAGTGCCGAGAGTCCATCGCCTTTTATCTATAATTAGCTATGGAGCCTAGTCACAATGGATTGTATGTTGCCTCTCCTTCACATATCATCATCCTCGTCTAGGTATCGATACTTACTTGTGTCCCCCCCTGTCCAAGTCGACAACACTTTCAAAAGTACTTCTCTCACTCAAGAGGTGCAAACGACAAGGGCGCTTCCGATGCTGCCCTACAAGAACCGCAAATCAACACACTGACCATCAGCGACATTCCACAAGGCGAGTCGATGCAGCCGGCAGGGATGTCGTGGATGCCGCCGGCGACCCAGCCGCAACAAGTGCCGACGACAGTTCAAGAGAGCCTTAGCTACTACATCAAGGATGGAAGCCAGCCCGTCGTAAACGCCTGGGAGCAACACCCTACCTCGTCGTCGATCCAGCAACGATCCACCGAGGCCGTGGCCGCGCCGGTCACCATGGCCCAGGGGATCTACCCCCTCAACGCCATGATGAGTGCTCAAGTCTCTCGAGATGCCAACGGCTTTGCCTTGTCCGATGCATCGAATCATCGGTGGGCTCAGAAGCCGCTCGCAGACAACTTTGAACACCCCGTCCTGGACTCGGAAACGCCCATCGGCCAGGCTTACACCACGGACGACGCCGTGCCCATTCTTGATCTCAGGTACACGACCCCGTCGCATGACAACTCGAACTTGGACGGCAGCGTGGCCAGCCACCGCATGTCCGGCTCGTCCTTTGCCATGTCGACCACCGGGGCCCTGTCCGACATGCCTTCGTACGAAGACTTCTCTGCCGCTCTCTCCGAGGTTCGATCAATCAACTCTGACTATCCCCCTCCTTCAAACAGAACGTCCCTCATGTCGTCCACGCAACTGTCCCCCGTGGCCTCTCCTCGCCTGACCCCCCAGACCCGCCCCGAGCAGGTCAGGACCCAGAGCCGCGGCCGCGCCTCGCCGTCTCCCCGGCCCAGCATGCGGGCTGCCCCCTACGACATCACTCGAGGAGGGAACAAGCAGCGCTGGTCCACCGGCTCCTACAGCGTGGCCCAACGACGACCCTCCCCCGCGCTCTATCACTCTCCTCCTAGCGTTCCTCAGAGGTACTCGTACCAGTCCCTGCCTACGCCCGCCGCCTCGGCCATGTTCCCCAACGCGCAGCAGCCGATCAACGGCAGACCGCCTTTTATGATGACTGGTCCCTCGGCTTTCAACCGGAACAGCATGGTCCTCGCCTCTCAGTTGCCGACCCAGGTGCCCTCGTACTTTTACAACCACAACGAGACGCACGGCGTCGTTGCCACCCCGCCGACTCTGCCTTCGCACGGCCTCCTCCGAGTCCTCCAAAGCAACGGCGAGCCGCACCCCTTGACCGGCCTCTACGCAGACCTCTCGGACCCCCCGGACTTGTTTGGCTGCCTCCAGGAAGAGCAGGCTCCCCCGCCACCCGAGGACATGAACCCTTCGGATCCCGAGATGGTGCCCTATGAGCAGGAGCTGCGATTTGAAAACGACTTGTACACCCCGCGCTGGGTTCGAGGCCACGGCAACAAGAGGGAAGGGTGGTGTGGCATTTGCAAGCCCGGGCGGTGGTTGGTGTTGAAGAACTCTGCTTTCTGGTACGACAAGTCCTTCTCGCACGGCATCAGCGCGGCAACCGGCACTCCTTTCCAGGAGCCTCTGGACTCGAGACGCATGAATGGCAACCCGGATATTTGGGAGGGGCTTTGTGGAAGCTGCAACGACTGGATCCCCCTTGTCAGCAGCAAAAAGAAGGGGACGACTTGGTTTAGACACGCATACAAGGTAAACACTAGAAGAAGAAAAAGTTGCTTGAGTATCGGTTTACTAACGATAAAATCGTCTTGTAGTGTCACACGCACCCCAAAGCCAAAGATGCCCACAAACGCCGTCGAGACAACAGCCAAAGCCGAGTGGGTGGCCATATGGCGCCCATGCCCGATGGACCAAGACCAGAGTCGCACCGATCAATGGCGTCTCACATGTCTTCTCCGGTTTCTGGAGTCGACGCACCAAGCCTGGCCATGACGGCCTCGATGCCCATGCCCACGCAGCCCATGGACTCTCGCTCGTACATGCCGATTCAGCAGACTCAAGCGCCTGCTGGTGCTTTGCCGCAGAGGTCCAGCTCTGTCCGATCACAGGCAAATCCCATGGAGTCGTATAATGGCATGATCTAACCAGTTCATGCCTTGAATTTTCCTTAATAACTACACACATACACACTCACTCACTCTTCTTATTTATTCTCCTTACACGTCGTCTTTACATTCTCCCTCGTCACTTTTTACCTCTTCTTTTTTTTTTCTTTTTTTTTCATCTTGACTCAGTCAGACTGCTACTCAACGATTTCCTTACTTTTGTTTCGATACTTCATGCGTCACGTTCTGGAAAGTCTTAATGCCCCCATAGAGACGCATGAAACCTAGATTACGCGGCACGAAAAGCTCGTCGCGATACCCTTATTTGTTTCCTTGATTTCTTCTTCTTCTTTTCTCTTCCCCCCTTTTTTTTGATTATGCCACTCTTTACAATCGTCTCCTAACCAAATTGTTCACTTTCCTCTCTTCTTTTACTACTTCTTGATCGCCTTGTTTGTCTTACCTTTCTTGGCTCTCTTTTTTTATTCCTACCAGAAAAGACTTTCCCTTTCCCAGTCTCTCCCTCGGAACACCAAACCGTTTTTATTCTCGAGCAAACAAACGGCTTTTTTTTATCAAAACCTTTGCAAAAAACAAAAGACGACGATCACGGGATACCAATCATTGATACCTTTTTTTACGCTTTCTCACGCTTTATATAAATAGACATAGAATGGAACATCGAGTATAGGGTTATATTGGGGATTTAATCATTGGATATGATCTCACGAGAATGGGACGGGGGGAAATCAGACTGGGATATTTCAGCGCTGCGGGTCAGCAGAGAAGAAGGGGGGGATATACCACGGGATATATATAGAGGCTCTTTTTTGTTTTTTCTTTCTTTCTCATACATAATGGAGGAAACCAATTTTGTTACATAGTTTGGGGTATCTTTTTTCTTTACTTGTTTTCTTTTTCTCTAGCTCCTATATCAGTTATTTATTCAATTTTCTTCCCTTGTCAAAACGAACCGCTGTACTCCGTAAAAAGAAAAGAACCGATACGAGGCGTGTATTTGCTCCATAAAGTTCCACACACACCTCAATGCGGGTAACTGGAACCGGGCCACCCCCCCTGGTCTCTCTTTCAATCCCCCCGCCAAAAAGGCAAATTCTAATATTATGCTGATTATGCGTCGCTGGGAGGGGGTGGAGGAAAGCTGAAGACAGATTGGCAGTTTTTGGAACAATGTTTGTTTTTGTTGGTGGGCTCATCTCGGAGCTGGATGGGGTTCTTTTGAGGAAGGATTGTGCGGCCCTGCATGTATAAGTGTCTGGTGTTGTGTACTTTGATCCTACTGTGTATATAACAAGCAACTGTGTGACCATGTGATTGGAAAATACAATACAATACAGGTGGTGTCCCCGAATATGACGCATGAACGAACGGAGAAGCGAAGGAATTTTTTTTTATTGATTCGCCGTTTTTATTTTACATGGGAGACCTGGTTAGAAAAAAGATGAGGTGCACAGCCCACCTCGGCAAGATGCCGCGCAGCTGAGAGCCATGGGGGTGGAGGGGGCTTTTATACTGTAACGTATCGCCGGAATTTTAAATGTAGTTTTTGGGATTTGATTCTTTATGCGGCGCATGGGTGATTAAGGACGTACGTCGGCGAAAATACCGTGCATACCTGGGATTCGATACACTTTCTTTGTCTTTGTTGCTGGGCTATAGGTAGTCATTGGACAAGTATATTGAAGCTACTTAGTTGGTACACAGTGTGTATAAGTAAGCATATGTTGCTGGAGCGTTTATTAAGAGGAAGGTTAAGCTGTCGGTGGGCAGGGAAGCCATGCTTTTTTCGGGGTTCGGTGGGAGTTGAGGTACCAACGTCATGAACTTGATGCTCAAGGTATCTATTTCTATTTGAATACGCACAGTAGACGCAAGAAAGAAAGCAGCAAAGAGGCCCCGAACCATGAAATACTGTACAAGAGAATACACTGCTTACAACAGTCTCATGGCGAGACCAATTACAACCGCTACTGAATGGCAAATGCAGGTACGAGCACGCCGAACAAACCCGATGAGACAATTACGAGTAATCAACGCGTAAGCATTTGTGGGAAGCCATCGAACGATGGTTCCCCCTTTGAATCGATAAGCCGGCGACGATTTGATCAGCTCTACTTGGCCTCGAATGTTTTGCGTGCACGACACCCAATAGTCTGGTACTTTGCTGCTGCATCTCTCCTCCTCTTTGCGCGGATGTGGCCGGAGATGGTGGTGGGCTCATATGGATCCGCAACTCGCATAACATCGATTAATGCGTTGGTTTAGCAGCGGACAAGTTGCATGGTTCCAGGAGAGAGGAGAGAAGAGAGAGAGAGAAAAGTTGATAGATCAGCCACTAGCTGCGTTTGGCTACCGGAGCAGCAGAGAGATGGATCCATTGGGTCTCGTGAGTTTTGTCACTTGGGGAGTGGGTTTGCACATCGTCTTGTCGTTGAGTTTGGTGAGATCCATAGGCTGAGAGAAGACTTTGTGATTGCTGTCAAAGTTTTCTTTTCTTTCTTTTTTCCTCTCCGATTGAAAGAGCCACAAGTGCCAAATAAACATAAGTTGTGCCGCCCGCTGTCACCCATCCATGGCAAGCCACGAGGGCTTTCGCTTAAAAAATAAAATAAAATAAAAAGGTGTTGCGTTTTTGTGCATGACCAAGTGCACAGGCTTCATACCTTTTCCAGGCATAGCGTGTCTGCCTAGTTGATGAGTTTTGGGTCTGGGGAAGATCGAGATCGGGTTTGACCGGCGCATTTGCTGGGAGTGAAGTCGAAAATGGAAGATCAAGAGAATTGTGCATGATATCTCTTCCGTGGATGACAAGTTGGTTGGTGGTTATACACACACTCGACGCATTAGGCAGTCTATTTTGGAGTCGAGGACGGAAAAAAGGGCAGCAAACGGAAATGCATTGACGTCTGGTGAGTTATCGTGTGCTTCTGACGTGGCAAGGTGCAGGGAAGGCTCAGGACAGCGCCCAAGGTGGTGCAAGGTGCTGCAACAGGAGCTTCGATGAGCTTGTTGCGAAACTCCTTTGCTGCTTTTTGGTGCGATTTATCAATCTGCTCTGGACGATTGAAAACTACCAGAGCTCCAACAGGCACCGGGCCAAGTGTCTGATCGGTAATACCAAGATGCTTGGCCGCAGGCTAGAGTAATATATATTGGCCCGTAGCGGAACGGATATGCGGCGTTATTGGATCTCGAGTTATGAAAGATAAGCAGCGACAGGGATCAGATGCTGAAGCATTCAACTGATGGTAATACCGCAAGGAACCACAGACAAGAGCAAGCTGGTCTGTCTGTCTGTGTGGTCTTGTTGCTGTGGAAGTGCAAACGCTCCATTTTTATTTTTCTCTTCGATATCCATCGATTTAATCAATTCTCGGCATCAAGTCAGTCGCTGTGGGTTGACATGTCCGCTAGTTAGCAGAAGCCACCATTGTGCAGCTTCGCAGCCATTTTTATCGTGTCATTCTACTCTACTGCCACTAATCCACCTGGTGGGATCCATGGTGGAGAGCACTTGGCCCAGATTAGGCAAAAGACGCTGCCAAACCGCCATCATGGTGTTGGAGCTCCGGCCCGGGGCTGTAAATTGCATCACGGCGGCGGCTTTGGGGGACTCGTTGGTCTGTGTAGCTGGTCGAGCAACGGATCAAAGATGAGAAAGAGAGAGCTGGAATGGGGAGTTTTTGTTTTTGGAAGAATCAGATCGATAGAGCTGGACGAACCATGTCGATCCAAGTGAGGTGATGCGGAGAAAAGTGTCCGAGTATTGAAGTACCTACGAGCGAGGTAACTGGGGTCAATGCTGCCTTATCTAATCCGTATCCGTAGACACCAGACGACCAGCATTCAGCTGCAAGTAAACAAAAGCCCAACTCACACAGCACAGCAAAAAGGGCACCGGCGGATGCTGCATGTCTTGGTCCGGGGAGAAACATTCGTGCCGCTGAAATCGCGCCCAGATCGATCCATTGAAGCCTCTCCGCAATGCTCTGCATCTGTGAACAAGGAATTGAATGGATTCATGATTCAACCAAAAAAGCACGCCGCCTGCTGACGTCTTTTTCCCACTAAAAAGGCCATCCGTCTAGGTGCTGGGCTGTATCGCTTCCACTGGCGCCCCCATCAGCTGCACTGCGGCTCCATTTTCAGCACATCAGCCCTCAATCTGAAAATTTACCGAGCTGGACGGGGCTCGTCTGCCTAGAACAGCGCCTGGACTCATCGGATTCTACCGGTCAGAACATCGCCAGCTGCTGCACTACACTGCACTACACTGCATTACACTGCGCTGTACTGCTGCGCTGCGCTGTACTCGCTGTACTCTCTGCTCAACTGAACTCAACCTCCATCTCTCCGCCTTCTGTTCTCTTATCCTCGCAACTCTTTTTTTTCTTCCCTTCCCTTCCTCTCCCCCCCCCAATCTGTCCTGCTGCTTCGTCCATTGCCTGCCACTGCATCTGCTGTTCCGCCCTTGGATAGCAGGTTGATGCTCTGTGGATCTCCAGGACAAGACTTGCCTCCCTTGATTTTCCCCCGTTCGAACCTGTTGCTCTCCTTTGCGTTGCGTCTTGCTTTGCTTTGCTGTTCCGGTAAGACAAGACCCTCTTCTCTCCCTCTCCCCTCCATGCACTCCCTTTTTCACGGCCTCATATGGCATTTGTTTCTCTCGGGACGCCGTGGCAAGCAAGCTAGCTAATCAGACCAGTTTCTTCTTCTTCTTCTCTTTTCTTTCTTGCTTCTTTGACCCCTTTGCATTTTGCAGAGCCAGTGCCGGATTTCCACAACCTTTTGCATCTTTGTCATGACCGTTAACGAGCATCTTGGATAATGAGAAACGAGCCAATGCGATTGTTCGCCAATATTGCCCAAGCAACCACCACCACACCTTCGACCGTCGCCTGCACACCTTTTCCGCACCCTCAGACCTGATCTTATACCGCCCTCCCTCTACGACGCCGAATCACAATACAACCACTTTTTTTCTACCTTTATTTGCATCCAAGGGGAATTGAAGCCTCCCTTGCAACGATTATACAATCTCTGCTGTCTCCCACTTCTTTTTTTCCCTGGCCTTTTCCCCACGGCCCGAATTGGCGGTGCACGCACTGGGATGCTTGTGTCTGGGTTCTCATAGCCAACAGGAATTCAAGCTGATATGAGCGAGGATCAACAGCTAGTATCAAGGCATGTCCGCCTTGCGAACACTCTAAAGCATGCCTGCCCTCCGCTCCCTCCAGCACTTGGCTAACCAATCTTGTTGACTCCGCACAGCAGTAGCTTTGGAGATCCAAACGCTCACCCACCGCCCACGCCAAAGCAGACTCCAACATCGGGTGCGTTTCCGAGCCCTATTTTCGAGACGCCCAAGCCCCCCCAGGGATCCTTCGCCGACACCAGCGGCCTGACGCCTCGCTTTGCCGAGGAATACTCAGTCTTCAACGCAACGCCGGGCAATCTGAGAGGGGCTCAGTTTCCCTTCGCTGACTTTGTGCCCACCACCCCCTTCGCATCGTCGTATCTAGGGCACAAGCGCCTGCTCTCCGTCGAAGAGCTAGCTGTCGAGATTGCAACCCGAGCCAACATCCCGCCGTCGAACCCAAACCTTCCACCGCCGCCCGTCGACCCTTCACGACGTCTGCCCTCCTCCCCGGCCGCCTTGATATTATCTACAAAGGCAGCCGCCGCTGCCAATTCCGACGCACACCTCGGCCCTGCCTTTTCCTCCTCCCACACCAAGTCTCCCAAGAAGCTCCGCCGGGGTACAATTGAGGGTTCCGACGCAGCACAGCCGTTGTCGCCGCCGCCGTCGGCTCACAAGGGGGGCCAGAAGCTCGCTCCCAAGGTCAACATGCAAGATGACCGGGCCTACGGTCACCCGGACTTTAGCGACGGCTTTCAGGGCCACCACGACATGGCCGCCATAATGGGCGGCGCCGATGACATGTTTGTCTATCCCATGTCTGCTCCCCCGAGCCAGGCCAATTTCTGGGACCCGGCCATGGGCATGGACCTGGACTTTAGCACGGCCGGCGCCGCCTTCTTCCAGCCCTCGCATCGCCATACCGGATCCTTTGACTGGAACAGCGACATTCAGCTCTTTCAAGATCCCGTCCCGCCCCCTCCTCCACCCTCGTCGAACCAAGAGAATGTCCAGCCAAACGCCCAAGGCATGCACCAGCCTGCTCGAAGGGAGAGGATGCTGGCGCCCAAGCCACCGGGGACTGGTCAGTCTGCTGGCCCCGTAGCAGCAACTGCCATGTTTCAAGCATCGATGGAAGACTCGTTCGGCGTAGGCACTCCCATGGAAGGCGTGGACCCAGGACTGCTATACAGCCGGCCCCCAACGGCCTCGATCAATGCAGACTTCAATCCGGCCATGAATGCGGCATCTGCGGATATGGCTGCCGCTGCAGAGGCCAACAACTCTCGCATCATGCCTCAATCCCGCCGGACCAACAGCCTGAAGGAGGTGAAGAGGGGCAAGATGCCAGACCGCACAAACTCTCCCGTCAAGGCCATGGGCCGCCCAGAACTGAATCGTAGCCTGAGTGAGGGTCGAACAAAGAAGGCGGGGGGCCGAGGGGCTTTGCCGACGTTGGCACCCGCTGCGCGGCCATCGTCACAGGCTGGAAGTTCAAATGCCGGCTCCGAAGCGGGAAAGTCGTCGAGATCGTCGGCGTCTGGGAGAATGTCGCCACTAAAGAGCCAACGGCGACTGTCAAGCCTGGCATCCATCCCCGAGTCTGCCTCTCAGCCACACCTGAGTCGACCTCGAACGTCGGTGAGGTTCACCATAGACGCACATGGACGGGCTCGAGCAGAAACTACGGTCACGGTCGAAGAAGCCGGCGGAATGACTCGCAGCCGAAGCTCCCGGGAGCTGTCTTCCACACGAAGAAGCTGGGAGTCTTCTGACGACGAGTCTTCCACAGACGAGGAGCCAATCATTATACCCAGCCGAGCCAGTTCATTCAATGCATCCTTTGCATTACCGGACCCACGCAAGCCAGTAGGCTCGATATTCCATTCGGGCCGCCGGAGTGTCAGTGATAGGAGCAGGAGTGCATCCACCCCTTCTCTCGTGACGCAGAATGACGGGGAAAGCGAGGCCGAGACGGTTCTGACAGATCATCAAGAAAGAGGAGGAGATGCAGCAAGCGAGCTGCGTAAAGTGGTAGAGGACCGTCAGAAGCGGTCTATGCAGATTGAGAACTCTCGGCCACAGCAACGCATTCTCACCTCGAGCGGCTCGGGGAATTACAAAGCAAGCTCCATATCTCCGGTCAGCATGATAGACTCGAGCTACAGAACGGATAGACGCGGAGTTCGATGTGTATGCGGTAGAAATGAGCCCGATGAAGGAAACGGCTACATGGTTCAATGGTATGTTGGCATCTCCAGTCTCTTGCCTCTGCTGGTGTTTGAGTGTGCCGGCTAGCTTCCCTGTGTTTGTTTTCCCCTGCTGACATGAAGCCGTTTCTAGCGAGTCATGCGAGATGTTGCTGCACGGAAAATGCGTCAACATAAGCAGGCGTACCATGCCGAGCGTGTACATCTGTGGCTTCTGTGCCAACACGCCCAATGTTGCACGTCGAGCGCAGCAAAGCTTTGGGAGGGGACACAATGGAGGACAGTCGGCGTTGTCGTCATTGGCGAACAAGACGCTTCGGTCCCTTCGATGATGGTGTGAGAGAGGATAAAGATACAGAGGGTGAAGAAATTGATGAAAAAGAAGGCATGTTATATGATTTTTTTTTAAGAAAACAAGCAAGCGGAGGCAAAAAATGCTGGGCAAGGCTGGGCAAGGGATTTTATGCGTTATGTTGAATAAGATAAACAGGGCTCTCTGCCGAATTACTACTTACTGCTCCTAGGGAATCGGTATATATTTGGGGGTGGGATATAGTACTACTAATACTATCCATACTTTTTTTTTGTGGAATCTAGATTGAATGCGAAGAAGCTGTTGAGAAGAAGAGCAGTAAAGTTATTTGCCATGGTATTGAAGCTAAGCTGGAGCCATGTAAGAGGGATACGTCGATGATGCTCCACCGTGGGGATGGGAGATGGACTGTATAAGATGACGGGAGCAAATTGGTGATTTTCTTCTGATTGGAATGAATTCTGGTCAAGTATTCCATGAGAATCATCATCTCTTTGTTCGTTCTCGGCACGTCCGGCATTCTCTGTTGCCTTACTAGCAATACAACATACGACACATTGATATGTTTGATATATCGGTAGTGGTTGGAGCTAATTCTAGTTCTTGAACTTTAATTACAACCACAGAAAAGGCCGTGGCGGGTGTGGCTTTGAATTCATACCAATGACAAGCTGAGGATAGAGCTAGAAGCCGTAAATACCCCGCCATTTTTTATTACAGCTTTGGAAGCATCGTTGATCTTTCAGCATCCCAATATCGGAGCTTAGTAATCCTGAAGAGAGAACATCTCATCAAGCATGAAGTCTGAACTAGCAACGGCGTTCATCATCTCTCGTTCATCCTAGCTGCATATATGTACTGTAAGATCTATCTATCTAGCTGAAGCTATTTAGAGTATTGAAGATTTGGTAAAACATTCCCATACAATTTCGAAAGTAACAAAGTCGTAACTCGTTCTCATCAGGTCTGTCATATCATCATCTCAGTTCATCTAGTCATTGCAGTCATCATTTCATACAAAAAGCCACAAACATATGCGGGTTTCACTCTCTTTCTCTGCTTGTCAGTATTCCGGCACCACTCCAAAACAGCGACAGAGCACCTATAACGACAGTTATAGGGACAGACGCATTCTGTAGGTCATCGGGGTGGAATTTCATCCAGAGTCCCCAAAATATGAATGGTCCCGCAACCATAGCAACATGGTAGGCAAGGACATAGGTAAATGAAACTGCAAAGACAGTTTCGAATCCCCATATAGGCGAGCTCTGATCTCTCTCAAACTCTCTCGTCCGCTTCGGAATCCGGGCTAGATTCATCGTGTTTGCAGTCAGGGGTAGGCAATCATGGGGAAAAGGCCAAGTACATGGCGAGGGGCACGCGTAGAAAAGAGTTTGGAAGTGGTGAGGCGAAATAGGCGGGTTTCTGACATCTCGCTCACCGGCTCGAGGATCATAGTGGTAGTCTTTGTCAGACGGAAGCTCTCTGTACTCTCGAACCATTCGGTCAGGGGTAAGTCTACTAAACTAACCATGATATTAACACGATGGCTCGTAGGTTGGTTTCGAGCCTATATACGTACCTTTACCACTTCGCAGTAATCCAAGCGCCAGACTGAGAACCATAGTCTTAGCCTGCCTCTATGGATCCGATAGCATCTCTTTAGCTCTTGAAAGATGTGGCCGTCTGTCGTCCGGCTGGTAACGTGAATCTGGGCCGGCACCAGCGTTCGCCGAGCTCCTCTAACGCCAAACAATATCCACCACTGGAGACTGCTATTAGAGCCCAGAATAGTCACTTGGACCTGCTGACCAATTGTCAGGCCTTGTTGCTGTTGAAGGGGAATTGCCCCTGCGAGTGGTGGTAGCTGCACGCTCTGAGGCGGCGTAGAAGAGCTGCTTGCTTGTGGAGTATATCTCGTAGCTGCTTGCGATGGCCGCGTAATTTGCCCACCATTTGTATAGTTAAAAATACCCTTTATAGAAGATAATAGAGTTGCTCGTGACTTTTTTACCACACACTGAGATGCCAATGGAGGGCTATCATCTGACCACTCGAGTATTCTTTCAACAAAATCGCGTTGTTCAGTAGATATATCCCTCCATTGCTCTGTACCACATGTCTATTTTCTTTTAGTCTTCGTCGGTTACCTGCAGACATATAATGTGAAAGTACTTACACATCTCCAGAATAATCTCGACTCTCCAGGGTAAAGCATTCGCTTCGCTTGGTCCAAGGGCCACCAGTTCCATCTCACTCCGGTAGTGTTCTCTACTAATATCTTGAGTCGGTCAGAGGTTGAGACGTCTTGTTCTTGTGATAGCCAGATGTTCTCCTTTGGTATTGACTGAAGCATGTGCCTCAAATCAGCGGATAAAAACATCAAGGTGAATTGCATTTGGAGGCGTTGGAATGCCTTGGATTCTGATAGAAATATTTTCAGCTTTGAGATGTGAGGAAATCTGTATGGCTCATTGGTATTTTTGGAATCCATCTCCGAAATAAGACGACTTGGGTCGCGGTCTCGGCTGCGATCGACCGCTGGCACGTATCCAGCCCTCAAGGACCCAACTGCTTGCGAAGGCCATCTCTCGACACGTTGTATGTTTGATGGTGAAACTACCGAGTCCTTTTTATAGAACTTTCGAGCTTCTTCTTGTTTCATATCAATATGTGCTGCAAGCTGCTCGCTGATTTGTCTTCTGCTTCTCTCACTTCGTAGCAGCCCAGTGGCAGCCCTTTCGGCTCCGGATTTGGCTTCTGCTGCCAGCCCTTTATGAAATGACTCGAGTAGCCGGCTCATGTTCTTGATGAAAACCTCTCTATTCATTCTATCCAAGGCCTTCTCACATAGAGTTTCGAATTGTGGCTGCTCGGCTAGAAACGCGCTAATAAGTGCATCGCCAGTCATTCCTTTATTGGTGGAGGCATCGGGGATTTGTGATCTGATATCATCACTTTCAGTAACGACAGACCTAATAGTGTCGTCCAGTTGCACTGATATTTCATTTTTCACTTCGGATTTCTTCGGTGATGCGACATCGTCGATACCATTCTGAAGGTCAGATACTGAAGGCGCCGCTGGGGTCGCTCGCCGTGACGCGGGTCCATATCCAGAATCTCCTTCCAAGTCTTTTGGTTCGCTCGTCAAAGATAAAGATTTGCTTTGCCCAAGGCGTCCTAGTTTCCTTTTGCGAGTCTCGCGTGTCAACATATATAGCTTGTCAGCTTCCTCTTGTCGGCCCTGATTCTTGTATATGAGTGCTAGACCCTCCATACTAGCAAGCGTGCGCTCGTCGTCGGCTCCAAGGCTCCTTTTGCGAGACTCTATTATCCGCAGTTCCAAGAACTCAGCATCTTTCCACTGGCCACGGTTCTGAAACTTCCGCACCAGGTTGTCCATTCTTGCCAGTGTAACGTAGGATTCATCTCCAAATATCACCGTACGAGCTTCTACGAGCTCCGTCTCCAGCTTTTGGGCTTCCTCCAAACGGTGCCGTCTCTCGTAACCCGATGTCAATTTATCCAAGAAGTTAAACAACTTCTGTATGTCGCTTGTCTCTACCTTCTGGGCTTCTTTTAGACACTTTTGTAGTAAGTTGAGAGCTTCGTCACAGGTTATTTCTTCAATGCGGAAGATGCTTTCTTCTGGGATATAAAGCCTGACTGGTGTCTCAAGCTTCTGTTGTACAAATAAAATCGAGCCATTTGGACTGGACGGTAGATAGTGTGAGAGTCTAGACGTCTCTAAAGCATCCGCATCATCGATGACCAAGAGCCAGGTTCCGCTGCTTTCTTTATTCAAGGCAGTCTGAACAAGCAGCTTTATGTTAGCTTCGTCCTCGTCAATTCCTTCGATGTTGAGTTTTTTGCCAATATCGTAGTAAGCGTTTTCAAAACTGATTGCATCTTTGGTTGACACCCAGAAGATAGAGCAACTTGGATGCTCGGCATGGAGACGGTAGGCGGCTTCCAGGGCAACTTGCGTCTTCCCGATACCCCTGTGGCCTTCAATAATAGTCTTCTGGCAATCACCCAAACGGGGCCGTATCTTCATTAGAAGCGCCCGTAAAAGATTTCTCTGCCTGTGAAGTATGGATTCTGTTTGATGGGAACTAGAAAATGGCAGCTTGCTGGTTGCTTGACATCGGTTGTAGCCTGCCCGCTCAAACCAAGCCTCCGATATCTGTCGAACTCGGTTGAGGTATCCCAGTTTTTCTGGCCTCGCTCTAATGAAGACAAGCATTCCTTGGTTGATTTTGACGTCTGTCTCATAAATGCACCGAGTTGCGTAATGGCCAATGGAAACCACCCAATCTTCTCTAACAAGGCAGTGGTTTCAGCTTCGTCTTCGTCTTCGTCTCCTTCTTCTTCCGTACTCTTTCCCAGATTTCTGGTGATTCTCAAGAGCTCTTTTGCTTCATTGGATGACATGCTGGCAACCTCAATGTGCCGTGTTGGACCTGCAAGTATACACGCAACATGGGCATCGCGAGAAGTCCACAACACTGTTCCATTAGATGCCCGAGGGATGTACTGAACCAAGTTCCTTGTCTGCTCTGCTTCTTGATTGACATCAAATAGTCGCAAGTCGTCAGCATCGTCGAGGATAAGCACCCAATTTGGCTGTGCTTCAATTCGGACGCGAACAGCCCTCAATAGCTCTATGCTTGTGAGATAGATCTCACATATATCAAATCTTCGCGCGATTGTCTTATAATCTTGTAGAAAAGTTGCCTCATTCTGGGCATTTACCCAAAAGACAGAGCAGTCCGTATCATGATGAAACCGCTGATATGCATATTCGAGCGCAATCTGCGATTTCCTGTGCTTTTTGAATAATGATACCGAGACGTGGACGCTGATACTTACCCTGACCCGCCTATACCGCAGAGAGCAGCGCTACGGCAACCTGTCGATGCCTGCGGTAGGAGCGTGTTGAGCTCGTTCATGAGATCTGGACGACGGACCAGATTTTCATTGCGGGGATAAGGAACAACGCAGATGGCAGTTGGAGCCGATTGAGGCAGATGTTTGTTATCGTAGATGCCGCCCTGGCGAACAAAGGCATTGTTGCCAAATTGGTTTCTGCTGATATTAAACCGACGCATATTAGTCGACAAGAAAAGGGTCCGGTTGCTCAGTCTTGCCACGTGCAGTGAAATGTATGCAAGGAGATTCGACGAAACCACTGACGGCCAGGTGAGACGTAAGGCTGGGAGTGTCACGAGACTCAGCGGTCACTAACCAGGTTGCCTGATATACTAGGTAGGTACTGATACCAGGTACATGTATACAATCCATGCTCAATGAGGCTCAAATGCGCACCAAGGCAACTGCCAATGATGATTACTGCCGCTTTGCTACTACTACTATCTACAGGCACCCAATAGGCCTAACTACCTAGCCGACCCCACAACACCATAGAAATACTACTAGCAGTAACAAAAAGCTCCCAATCGACCCGTCTCGGCACTCCAAGGCAAATACAGGCTATTCCCGGCATAATTCTCTCCAAAAAGCCCGTTGCAATCAACACGTTTATTCCAGCCAATTCCATCCAGCAGTCAGCAGTCAGCACACAGCAATGCACTGCAACTTTGTAATTTCTATTCATCTGGCGTCAAGCAAATCAGATCCTCCCGAAAGCGGGTCAGACGGACGAGCTCTCCGTGTCTCGGCCTTCCGACATCGGCACAGAGGAGCTATACTTTTGGGTACCTAGATGCTTATTAGGCCACTCTGCTTTCTCGATTTCTCCAATTCTCAACGAAAGAAACTTGAACCAATTCTTTTCGTCTTCTTCTAATACTCTTACTTCTTTATTTGATCCAATTCCTCTTCTTTGAAATCACAAACGACTTTTTTTTCTGGATACAATGGCGGAGCACAACATTGTCGTCTTTGCGGGAGACCACGCTGGTCCCGAGGTATGCTTTACCTGATCCTTCTCTGTGTCTCTCGAGCTTTGGAGATTATCATGCTGACCAGATGCAAATATAGGTTGTAGCTGAGGGAATCAAGGTTCGTGCAAACTGAAGCTATTCCACGGGTGTATCGCATCGCACCGTATCGTCTTGCCGTGCTTTGCTAGCTCTGCTCATGACGTCGACGCTGACTTTTGTTACACGGATTAGGTCCTCAAGGCCATTGAGCAACACAGTCCCAGCGCCGGCAAATTCAACCTACAAGATCATCTTCTAGGAGGCGTAAGCTCACTCTCTACCTCATCTCTTCAATCTCAAAGCTAACCGAGAATCCCCACAGTGCTCCATCGATGCGACCGGCTCTCCCCTAACAGACGAAGCTCTCGCCGCCGCCAATGCCGCCGACGCCGTCCTCCTCGGCGCCATTGGAGGTCCCGAATGGGGTACCGGTGCTGTTCGTCCAGAGCAGGGCCTGCTGAGGCTGCGCAAGGAGATGGGCACGTACGGAAACCTCCGCCCGTGCTTCTTCGCTTCCGAAGCTCTCGTCGAGTACTCTCCTCTCAAGGCCGAGGTGTGCCGCGGCACAGACTTTGTTATTGTCAGAGAGCTCACAGGTGGCATTTATTTCGGTGACAGATCAGAAGATGATGGCTCTGGCAGTGCCTGGGACACCGAGCCCTACTCCCGAGTTGAGATTGAGCGTGTGGCTCGCTTGGCTGGCTTCCTGGCTCGCGGCCGCGGCGAAACCAAGGTCTGGTCGCTGGACAAGGCCAATGTCCTTGCTACTAGCCGACTGTGGCGCAAGGTCATGACGGAGACGTTTGCCAAAGAATTCCCTGATCTGACGATTGAGCACCAGCTCATCGACAGTGCTGCCATGATCATGGTCAAGAACCCTCGTGGCCTCAACGGCGTGGTGGTAACCAGCAATCTGTTTGGTGACATCATCAGCGATGAGGCTAGTGTGATTCCCGGCAGCATTGGCTTGTTGCCCAGTGCCAGCTTGACCGGCATTCCTGATGGAAAGTCCAAGTGCAATGGCGTCTACGAGCCTATCCATGGTACGTAAACTATCCCAACTCATTTTCTCTTTATAGCGAGGGAAAAGCTGATTGAATGGAACAGGCTCTGCCCCTGACATCTCCGGCAAGGGCATCGTTAACCCCATTGGCACAATCCTGTCCGTGGCGATGATGTTGAGATACTCTCTCAACCTGCCCAACGAGGCCAAGGCCGTCGAGGAGGCTGTCAGAAAAGCCATTGACAACGGCCTAAGGACAAAGGACATGGGTGGCAGCTCCGGCACCAAGGAGGCCGGTGACAAGATCGTCGAGGAGCTCGTCAAGGTCCTCAAGGCGTAAAGTCCTCTTTGACTAGCTTATGAAAAGTTAACAAGGACCAAAAAAGATGAAACTGAAAGTTGTTTGATTGGGAAACTACGGGATTATATATGCAGCGGCTGATATTTGTTTGCATTTACAATGATAAGGATACTCTTGCGCAGAGAATGGAGGGTCACAACAAGGCCATAGGTCAAATAGTCGATTATACACAATGGCTGTACATGAATTACAAACTGTAAAGCAATCTGTTAACAAATTTCTTCTTTCTTGTGGTGTAAGCTGTGCACCCGATATAAACGATCTGTTACGGCATAACGAGAGGTCACAAGATTCTCATAGATTGCATCGTTTGACGCCTAGCTAGAAACCTCGCTCCGTTCCCATTCAGCCTACCAAGACTCAGATTATTGCAGAAGACCACTCTAAGACAGTAAAAAGAGAGATCATAAACTGTGACGTAGCCTCAACCCATGAGAGCCCATTTCACCAGCGAAGCGGAAACAGAGAAAGGGGGGGTATCAAAGACGATTCTCACTCTCCGCAGCGTCAATTTCAAAAGAGGGGGAAAAGTATAGAATAACGGTAACTTCTTTTCTGTTTTTTCTCTCTCCCCTTCCTTTCCTGAGTACGGGGAAAGGAAGAGGGGGGAAACCACTTGGTGTGCAAATATACCTAAGCTTAAAGAAAAAAGGAGACTTAGGAAAGGGGGGGAATACAGCACAATTCAGCCGTTTGTAAAATTGAGTCCCATCGACACCCAGCGGAACGACCAAAACCGTCGAGAATACATGGTCAAACTTTTTCTTCTTTTTTTTTGATCAACTATCAAAACATAAAAGGCTTAAACGTCCTCCACACACATTGGGGATTTTTTTTCTTTTCTCTCTAGATGTGGGAAGCGAGATAAAGTGCCCAATCCATCAGCCAAGGAAAGGGTCTTTGAGGACTTCATGAGTCGCAGGCAATTTAGTTGCCGCCGAGGCTGGGGAAGGCAGACTGGTCGCTGGTGTTGATAGAAGCGCCCTGGCCACCACGTCCACCGCGGAAGTTTCCGCCACGGCCACGGTCGCCGCCACGGTCGCCGCCACGGCCTCCACGAGGACCACCGCGGCCACCACGGGCACCGCCTCGGGTTCGCTCAGGCTCGACGAAGCGGGGATCGAAGTCGACAGTCTGCTTCACCTTGCGCTCACGCTCGCGCTGCTTCTTGCCACCGGAGCCGGCAAAGTAGACATCCTCGTCCTTCTCGAGGGGCTTAGCATTGGCCCACTTCTTGTCGAGCTTGCTACCCTCGTTGGCGGTGCGGATGTTAAGCTCAGACTCGATGGCGGCCTTCTTCTCGGCCTGCTGGGCGAGGTAGTCGGTGTAGGAGATGCTCTTGTCCTCGGGCTCCTCGGGCTCAGCGGCCTCCTCGGGCTGCTCATCCTTCTTCTCAGACTCGGCAATGGCCTCACCGGCCTGCTCGTCCTTAAGCTCGGCATTGCCTTCGGTGGCACCCCAAGACTGAGCTGCTTGCTTATCGGAGCCACTTGAAAGCAGAAAATGGTCAATATGACATGACTGGTAAGGAGGCAGCCAGAGAAATAAAAACTTACGTAGTGGCACCGGACTTGTGAGGATGTCTGTCGTCACGCTCACGGGGGAATCGTCCGCCACGTCCTTGGTCCCGTGTTAGTATAAATCCTTGCCAGTGCTGCAAAATCCCTCGAAAAGGATTCTTGATAGAATTCAAATTCACTCACCTCCACGGACGCGAGCACCCTGGCCACCACGAGGACCATCTCTAGGGGTCTCCTCGGTGGAACGGCCCTGGTTGCGTTCCCGACCGGCGGCGCGGTCACGGAAAGCTGCATGTCGGCAATTAGCATCAACACCTCACATCTGCCGGACGGCGCCACGGCCTCGGCAGCGCCACCGAATCAAGGGACTGAGACAGCGCAACTTACCGCCCTCGCTTCCGCCGGGGCCACCACGGCGGTTGCCGCCAGTCCTCACAGGGGCCTGGGGAGCCTGAGGCTCGACATTGCGCTTGGTAGTGCGGGTTGTGGCCTTGTCGACGGTCTTAACGGGGACGACGGGCTTCTCCTCGCCATCGGAGTCGTTGCCTGCAGGGGGGGAAAACTTCGGTCAGTGACCTGCGCTTAACGATTCTATCGCGGCGGGGTTCGTTGGAGGGGTGAGGGTCAAAGTAAAATTTGCGGGAGGAGGGGCGTCAGTACCAAGGTAGGCGAACCGGTTCTATAGCAGGCGGCAGTCAGCACCAGCAACACAAAAATTGAAAGAAAGAAAAATCACAAGAGCGATCCCGAGCGAAATATTGCGACGACGGCATCAGTCTGGTGTCTCTATTTCGAAGACAGCGAGGCAGCCCAGCCGTCGGCGCGATGTGTGTAGCTCATCAAAGCTCAACGCCTGGTGGCAGCTCGACATGGGCCAAGCCACGAATTGCAAAGGGGACGGATGCAAGACAATATGCATACCTGGGAGGCGACCTGTGACATGTTGGTCGATTGGGTGCTGGACAGTACTGGCGGCGCTGAGGGTAGTCTTTGCTACTTTTTGGGGGGGGGGGTTGACGACGTCTTAAGATCGCATGGCCCTCCTGGCGCGCGAGTCGGTCTTTCTATTTCTTCTTGCGAAGGAGGAGAAGCACCAGAGCGAGGTCCGGAAAACTGGTGTGCTGCTGATGCAGTTGAAGAAAATGCACGATCGGCCCTGTTTGGGGGGGGTTCCGCTGCCTGCTCAATGCGGGCAAACTCTCTCTATGGCTTTTCTGTGCTGCGCCAACCCACTCCGAAGAAAAAAAGAGCGACCAGCGGCGCTAGCACACTTGTTTTGGGGGCTCGCTTAATTCCCGTGAAATATTTTGTGGTTGCGCTGTTAGGGCTCCGGGGCGCTGGGCCGTTAGTGCAGCAGGTACCGAGTCGTACAGCCTGACTAACAACCGCCGAGTAACCCAGCACTCGCAGCCGGCTTCAGCTCGCATTGCCCAGCAATTGAGCGCATTTCAGCTGAAGGCGGCCACGAGCATTCTATTCTTCCAGAGGCCCTTTACATGGCCGGCTTTGGAGGCGAGCAGAAAGCCTCTTTGCTTGCGCCATTGAGTCCAATCCCGCATCCGGAGACTGGGTTGCCGTGGCAAGCTGGAGCTACAGGGAGATACAAGCTGAGCTACGACGCAGCCGAGGGACAAACTAGGGCTACCGCCCGCTGAAACTGCGCTAGCCCAGAGGTTCACTGCTGTCGGTCCGCAGGCAGGAGCTCCCTCCTAGCAGAAGGTACTTGCGCCCACAGCTAAAGTGGCAGCAGCAACCAAGCTGAGCTGGTAATTGCTGGAGAACCTCAGCGGCCCACCCAGGTATCATGATAACGTCATCAATACGTGCCTTCATGTTGGCTTTTCTCAGGGCGTCGATGCAGTGATACTCTGGATGTGAATTAGCACTGTACAGGCAGACCTGCTGATCAAGTTAGTGGTGGTGCCAAAGAGAGCAAAACGCAAACTGTAACTCGTTTCTGGGGGAAGCTGTGATAAATACCATCATGTTGCCGAGGGGGGTTTAGTTATGCTTATTAAGTATGAAAGCATATTCTAACAGATTAACAACACCACAAAGCTGGCACGAAGCTTGTCATTCATGCCTCTGCAATGGCAAGTTGAAGAGAATCACACAGTTTCAGCTGCTTATATCATGTGGCAGGTTTCATAGCTATATTCCATTGGAGCTTGTATCAAAACACTTGGAATATGCTAGCTGGGAGCTTGCCTAGGGTAGCATCCAATTCAATTTCCACACAGACTCTTGTGTGACAAGAAACATGACAATCACTCAACAAGGTGGCATCGTAATGAATGATTTCTGTGAACACATAGCAAACACGAAAGCCATTTGGGCATTAACAGCAACAATGTATGCGTTACTACTTGTACACAAGCCGACTTCCTGTCGCCCTGACCTCAAACAAACAAACTAATGAACGAACAAACAAAAGAGGGTTTTGCCTTATTCACCCCAATTTCCCTTCCCTTCCCTGCGCCAAGCCAAGTAACAAAGAAGAAAGAGCAAGTGTAGCTCTCAACAGAGTCCATGTCCAGCCACATTCAGACCTCTCGAGGTATAAACAATCGTATCAAAACGCCAGTGGATCCGTAGCGCCGGATACCATTATACATTGCGACGTTTCCTTCATCATAGCAATAGCATCAACCAAAAGATGCAGTCTCCAACGCCAAACCGGCAATATAGCAAGATAACCACCACGCAAAACCATGTCTCAATCGACCTGGAAGGCTGCAATCAATCCCGGCAAGGAGAGCGGGAGGGAGTATTCTCAAGCCGACCAGGAAATTGCCTGAGCGGAAGCTCACCCATCTTCCTTCGTAGCGCCCATCTGGCTACCTAACCGCGGTTCTTTGGGCGGGCGAGCATGTTAAGGCGGCTCATGCTCAGTGTTGGTCTCTTCTTCGAAGGTGATGCTGAGCTAACGGCTCGAATAATGGGACGGACTGGGGTTTTGCCGGCGGCCTTCTTTGCGCTGGCGGAGATGGAGGGTGATTTGCCCAGAAGACGAGGAGCCACCAAAGCCTGCCCCTCAGGAACGTGGCTACTCTTGGCCTTCTTCCCAGCGCGATCAGCTGCCTCCTTGTCAGCGTCTCCTTCGGCCGAGCTGGCGCGATGACGCTTCTTGTTGGCCATTCCGTGTGGAACCCCTGGAAGCACCTTGGCCGGAGAAGGCGCCGTGTTCTCTTTGTTCGGGTGAGAGCTCGGCGAAACTGGATCAGGGAAGCTGCCGGGCATATCCGATGTGGCTTTGATAGAATTGCGCACATGTCGCACGCTCGACTGGCCAGGAGAGGCACCAAAGCCGGATGGCGAGGGATTTGCAAACTTGATTGTGTGATCGCTTCGGAATGTAAATCTGCCTGGAACTGAAGGGGAAGGAGATTTGATGACCTCCTCAGTGCTGGAGTCAAGGAGATGCTTGTAGCTGGACAAATCGGGATAAGCAACATCACCCGACGATTTCGCTTCTTCCAAGGCTTTCTCGACTTCGGTGCGCTCCAAAGCCTTCTTGGTAGTGTTCGACTTGTGAGGCGATGGAGAGTCTGGGTCGAAAATGGTTCTTGTGACTTCTGGTGTGAAGGTCACATGCTTAACAGACTTCTTCGTGGGCTGAGTGGCAGCAAGTCGGGTAATGTTCAGATTGGAAAAGCGGGAGGAAGCCGGCGGCGTCTGCGCAGTGGTGATGACTGGCTGCGGGATAGCACTCCGTCTCCTAGGCGAGAATATGCTGCTTCCGAAGACGGACTTCATCACCGATCGCTTTGTGGCAGAGTCGGTAACTTTCTCGGCTTCTTCAGGCTCTTCGGATTCTTCAGATATCTTTGATATCTTGGTATCCTTGGGCTCCTTAGACTCTATCAACTCCCTGAGTTCCTTGAGAGTCATGGGCTCCTTGGGTCTCGCGAGTTCCTTGGCTCCCTTTGACTCCTTTGGCTCCTTAGACTCCATCAACTCCCTGAGTTCCTTGAGAGTCATGGGCTCCTTGGATCCCTTTGACTCCTTGGCCTCTCCTTGCAGTTTGAAATTTGGCTGCGGTAATGATGTAACAGCAGCAGGAACCGCTTCGGACTTTGCAGGACTAGTGAAGCGACTGATGGATGACTTTGTCGGGCTCATCAAGCGGGAAAGGCTGGGTCGAGCAATTCTGGAAGTGGCAGGCTTCTTGACGCTGGATGCCGGGCGAGGAATCGACGTCATGTCTCGTGACACCGGGCGGGTTGTCGAAGCATCGTCCTCTGCGCTCTTCTTTACTCTCTTGGCCGAAAGCGAAGGCTGCTCGTCCTTGGCAGAGACTTGGTCTTCGCGAATAGGAGCCTTGGTGCCCAGTCTCTTGGCAGAAAATCGTCCGAGGCTCTCCATCACCGATGTGCGCTTCCTCGGTTCAGTAGCCGGCAGCACCCTTTCAGTTTGTTTTGTGTTTTTCTGAGGGGTGTCCAGGTTGGCCTTGGATAGAGACCGTTTAATGCCGGCTTTGACAACGGGAACGAATCTTCCATCTTGTGCTCTCCAAGCAGAAGCATGTCCTTCAATAGAATCCATCTTTTTGAATTCAGCCATATGAGCTGCACTAAACCTTCCCGACCTTCCCTTTGGTTTAGCAATTGTGCGGCCGTTGGCATCGGTGGACGCGGAGGATGAGTCGTTTTCTCTGTTGGCGATGAGATCGGCTTTGTATTCGGCAGCCTTTTCCTTGAGGCCCTCCAAAACACGTAGGGCTTCAGCCCCTAAGCCCAGTTGGCTGGTGGTGGTGCCAGCAGGCACACGAAGAGTGAAGGCAGAAGATGGCACACCGCCAACTTTGGACGGGGTAGATTGAAGACCCGCTCCATGAGAGCTATCGCGCCGTCGTGTGTCTTCAATATCTGCGAAGCCCAATCTAAGGGCGGACGATGGTTCGGCGGTAGTTGGGTGGAATTTGCTTGGGTGCATCTCTGTGCTAGGGGGTTTTAAAGCATGGGTCGCGGGCGTGGCTGGCGTCTCGAAGGCATCCATTTTCTTGGGAGTGATTCTCTTGGGAGTTTGGCGCTTGACGGGCTCGACACGTTCGATTACAGTTGGGATCTCTAGCTCGACAGGCGGCTCCAGCATGGGATTGCTCTGCACCAACATTGTTAGATCACAGTCGATTTTTTCGGAGCGTGTCGAACCATGGAAAATCTCACCTTAGCAAGCCGAGCTGAGCGGCGGGGAGCAGACATGGTCTATATTGCGCTCAAATCTGGCTAAAACTGCAGGGTAAGGCGGTATTGATAGCAGTACCTTGAGCAACGCAGCTGGCTGTTGGGATGTCTCGAAGACCTGGCGAGGAATGTCGTGATGGATTCCTACGTGGGAGGTGATGACATGAAAACAAATGGGACGAGTTTGTACCAAGTCAGCGGGGGTTTGTTTACTTTCTTGTTGTCCAAGCTCCAAAAAAAAGGGCACAAAGTGGATACACGGTGTGGATAATGAAGATATAGGCGAATGAATTTCATAATCAACACTGTATGATGATTCTATGGGGAAATAACGTGAGCCCTCATACGTCGTTTGTGCACGCATCGGCGAATTTATCACATGGTCAATCACAGGATCTATTACAAAAGCGCATTGTCGTGTATCTGAGATCGATTTTATCACAGATCTCATGATGTGCTAAGCCTTGCGCTGATACTGGCCACTTTTTGTGTTAGGGAAATGTCCGGTATTACTGAGTGGCTGGCCGGGCAACGGCTGACTGAGCAGCTACCCAAAGCTTGCATCTCTCTGTGTCTGTGAAAGAGCTGGAGAAGAGAAGACAAGAAACAAAAGCAACCACCTAACAAAAAAGTAATTGGGCTTTTTCTCTCTCTTTTCTTTTTGAATGGGATGTCTGTTCCTCGATGATACAACTTCCATCGCCAACATGTTCACGGGCGATGTGCATCTTCATGGCATAGATAGCTGCTAGGTACCTATGGGTGCAACATAGGACTGGAGAGTTTCTCTTCCGTAGTGGTGATGGAATTGCAGGAACTCAAATTGAGTGACCTCTTTACTGTGCACCCTGCTCTCTATAAGAGATGCTTTGATGTCTCCCGCAAACCGAGGGAAGGCTCCCTTGATTACACCATGTCATGGTCAAATACGAGGCGCGGAGTTCCCTTTTCGAGGGCGTCGGACAGCGAAAAAGAGCGGCAGGCAGTGACAGACAGGCATTGAGATGCGTTGCATGTCAGTTCCTAAGCGCTCACTCTAGGACTTTAGGCAATTCATCCGCCACCCAATCATGCTCTCCTCGAGACCGAAAAAGACCCCCCAGAAAAGCACGACACTGCGGAGTCCTCCGCACTCCGACCCGAAAATCGGAGCGCTACTTTGTCGATGTGCTGCGCTAGAATCCTTCCAGAAATCGCCTTGCGGACCATGTGTAGCTGCCAGGTGATGACGGTGATGACACTAGAGAAAAGGCTCTTCCAGTCGAATGCCGTGACATCCGCCGGACCCGATGATTATTTTCTCACCGGATGACCAGATCCGTGCTCGGTAAGCTACCGTATAAGATGGGATATATCCAAATCTGTCTCAAGTGTCGGCGAAGGGCGGTTGGGGTGGATGAAAACGTTGTGCAGGTGGCAGGCTATGAGAAGGTGGCGTCTAGCCTACTAACAGCCAGAAAACAGATGATCTTGGATCCCATGCGCATCGATGACGGCCATGGGGTTTCTTGGATGGCGACATCGTGTGCGTGTTCCTTTGTTATTTCGGGAGAGCGGCGTGGTTGGGTTGGGCAGTTTTTGTTTACTTTTCTGGTATTGTGTATATGAGCGTCCCTTCACAAAGTATTCGATGCCAATTCGGCCAAGTGATGAGTAGACAGAGGCCTTGATGCCTACCTTTTTTCAGCTCGGCTTGTCACCAATTGGAGCTGAGGCCATGCCGGACACTGTCTGCCATAGACCAAGATGGAGGGAGCACATCGTTGCTTCACAACTGTTATAGGCCGCTTATCCATCGCCTGACCACCATCACACTATGCACATTCAAAGTTTGATGGACAGCGGCTCACCTCAAACTTGGATGAATTCTATGTACTCGGCAATTCAGCAACTTGGACACACTTGCAGTGATTTTGTTGATTTCTTGCGTTAGCGGCGAACTCCTCTTGGAGCTAGCCCCGACAGCCGAGAGATAATCTTGCTTGATGGGGAAGCTGATTGGCACATCTCCGAGGAAGCTGGGGAAAAGTTGGTGGCGCTCAAGTTGCCCTTGGGACCTGGGGGCTGGCGTTTTGGAAGCTGATATCCCCCATGGCTTTGTGGCGCTGACGGGATGTTTGACATGAAGCGCTCCGTACTTTGCAAGGGAGAGAGAGAGGGCATCCGGGCTTTGGCAGGCATTATTCGGACGCAGCAGCGGAAATACTACTACTACTCGAAGCATGATCCTTGCGTGGTGGTAAGAGAGACGGCGCTTACATACTTGTAAGGCAATGTCAATGACATGTCTGCTCGTGAGCGGGTTGGAACTGAAATCAGCAAGCATTGAGCTAAGGACACCAATGCTGCTGCTTGCTCGGAATGATCCAGAGGCAAAGACATTTTATGTCTGCCTCTCCGCCCTCGCCCGTTGCACCGATCACGCGGGGACTGTAAGCTTCTTGGGGGCTTGTTGAAAGAGGCCGGCAAGCCACAACCTCACCACATGACTGCGGTTGCCGACGGTTGTCTCAATAGTTGGTGAAGAGTTCCGGGATAGTCTTGGTGATACTGAGCGCCCGTCCCAGCTGAACCATCCTTGGAGTAATAAGAGGCAGCCCCAATTGCGGAGTTTGCTTGGTTGTTGCGAGATGGTTGGCTGAACGTTGTGCGTGTCAGGGGAACACTACTTTTCTGCCCCCATACAGTAGTAGCTAATGTCGTGGAGTCTCCCCAGAATGGGGTCGAGGAAAAGGAGATGATGTTCGGTGAGACCAAGAGCCACAACGCCACGAATTGACCAATATGAAGACAACAGGACGCCTCGACCGGACCTCCGGCACAACGACGCATGCAGTCTCGTGCATATACATAACCGCTGGCAATGCGGTCCCGAGACAACGCACAACGCCTTCCGACACCGCGCGTCACAATCCCAAGCCGTGCATTCATTATTGGGGAAGACTCTGAGGCTAATCACGGGCTACATGAGTTGGCAATTGATGGAGCTCCCGGGCTCGCAGCCTGATGACGGCTCGCGAACGAGGAGGCGTCGGATCTGCAGCAGGGCAATCCTCGCCAGAAACCAATAGGCCGCATGTCTGGGGTGGGACGGTGGACGCTCTCTGGCTGATCAGTGCTGGGCTGCCTGCTAACAACTCCTAGTAGCAGTGCTAGTATTCCGCGGGTGCATCAGGCAAGGCAAGACACGCACAATGTCATCGAGATGCTCGTCGAGGGGGGGCGTGGTGAGACCAGGTTAAGCTTAAACCGAGGAGAGACCAGCTCTGCTGTACGAGCATGTAAGCCCGTTTCAGAGCAACCAAGCACGGGGCAAAATCCAGGTTACCCAACAAGAGTACGGAACCTGCTTTGCGCGACAACCAGAGAAGACCTCGACTGATACAAGTATTACTCCGTACGAGTACAGTATGTCTGTATATTGCCCTCGCCGGTCGTGAAAAAAGACAGGACCCTGAACAGGCAAAGAGCGTTTCGAGATTTGCAACTAGGCAGGCCCAGCTGGGGGCCGGTTGGGTTAGTTGCGAATAGCTTCGCCGTAACCGCTGCAAGCCTGCCAAGGACGAACACCGGAGTACAAGCATTCTACCTCACGCAAATCTTGTCGCCTTCTCCTTTCCGCGGGCAGCGTCGTGGCCCCGCCAGGTCTCGTTGGGGTATACTGCAGCCCGTCGGCACTAGAGCCGCTTGGTGTTGTTGCGTGGTGGTGTGGTTCAAAACGCAGCTGCTGATCAATGTCACTCGTCTTCGCTGTCATCTACCTACTGTACTGTACTGTACTGTACTGTACTGTCCTGTCCTGTCCTCAACGTATTCGTGCCTAGTAGTTAGTACAGTACGGTAGTGGTGGTTGATATTTTCGTTTCCCTTCTCATCCATGCAAGCCATGCTAATATTCGCTCATCGGCGCTGTGCTAGTGAGCGACGAGGCTTGCGGCTGGCGGCGAATGTGTCCGAGCTGCAGCAAAGGAGTTGCCCGTTACCCCTGACAGGAATTGCACAGCAATTGGACTTGTCGACGCATGGACTAGCTAGCATCCACGACATGGCGAACAATTGAAGGCGGCGCGGCGGACATTTGGAACGGGGGGGGGGAAGAGGGGAAGAGGACGTGGCCGGCAAAGAAACATTGAAAGCGGTATGAGTGCTCGGAGCAGCTCAAGCCAGCGGCACCGCCATTACTTGTAATCCATTGTCAAGTACTAATCAATCAATCAATACCGTACTGTACGAGCGAGTGTGAGTGTGAGTGAGAGTGCAGCAGAAGCAGGCAAAAGAGAGCCAGGGCAGCACAAGCGGGGGTCCCACCCAATAAGCCAAGCAACCAAGCCAAGCAAGCAGACTCGACTCGACTCGACTCCAACTTGGCCCGGCCGATGAAAATTTCAACTGCAAGCCGTGGTGGAGAGAAGGGGTGGAGCGCGCAAGAAAAGCAGATGATGGCCATTCCACTCCCCGGGGCCCCTAGCCCAGACAGTTCCCAAGGAGTTCTAGCCCGAGAGACCACCTGACGCGTCGGCTGGGGAAAAGCCTCCAGACTGGATCGAGGCGAAAGCCAACCGGCCACAGCCCACAGCACACCCACTCGCAGGAGGATGGTTGGCCGATTTTTTTTTTTTCCATTTTTCTTGCCTGGCCAGCCCAGCAGGCGGTGCGAGTACATGCGAGGGCGCAGCCTCTTTTTCCGTGCCGTGTCGTGTCGTGCCGTGTCGTGTCGTGTCGTGTCGTGAAAAGAGTTGCGAGTAGGTACCTTGTGTTATGCCGTCCATTCTTGCTTGTCCTTTGTCTCTGGGGTCCATCCGTCTGGATCAAAATGCCATCGGACTGTCGGGTCGCATCTGCCCTGTCCCGGCCTCAGGCCATGCATCGTTTCCGCTCCCTGAGGTGCCGGTGCGCGGAACCGGGGCCCTCAAGCTCGCTCTGGTGCCACGGGCTAAAGCAAGCAAAACGCACGCCGAGCGCTGTGACAAGAATTTGCACGGCTCACGTCTCACAGGTACCCGCGCAGACCTGCAAGCCCCGGCCCCATCTCTCGTACCGGCCGCTTCGTTTTTTTTTTTCTTGCATCCTTTGCCCTTTGCCTTGTCTGGCCACGCCAGCGCCGAGCTCGCTCATCGCTCCACCTCGCGCTGGGTCGTCGGCCGACCCTGCAGTCACCAGTCAGTCGCCCAGGCAAGCCTCCAAGTGTCGCTGCGAAGCCTAAAACGCTGTACTCGTACCCCGTCCGCTGTGGCTACTAGTTCTGGTTCTGGTTCTGGTTCGGGGCTGGTAGAGAAAATTGCCCATAAAGGACGGGGGGCCAGCTCCAGCGCAAATGTCGCCGCCGGAGACGCTGCTGGCCTCCCCTCTTCGCAATTCCCATTACATAAAACAAGTCGCGGCGCCTTTTCCCACCAGCTTTTCGAGCTCCTGTATCTTCGACGACCCTCTTGGAGCCTGCAAATTATCTTTCTGGAAGCTCGGGGCGACGCTTCCTTATCTCTCGCTCCTGTTTTTCTTACGTTTCTGCCCGCCAGGCGCATCCTCGGCCGCTCATAGGCGCCACAGACGCGCTGCCGAACGCCTATCTCTCTGGTCGACTTTTTGCGCCCAGAGACCCTGCAATTGCATTCGCCCGCTGCCTAAACTCGTTGATAACAGACTCTCCTTGGGCGAACCACAGACGCCCTTTTGGTCGCCTGGCCATCCCCCTCTGATAGCCCGCCGCCGCTGTTGCTGATACCGGGCGTCCCACCCCCGACGACGTCACCCGGGACGCTGGTTTGTCTTCTTGATTTCACTGGGGCGCTTGCCGCAGCGCGGCTGTCGTCTCCAAGGGCCGCCGCGCCGTCACCCAAGGCATGGCCGACAAGATGTCCATCGACAACAAGCCGCCGAACCCTCACCGGGATGAGAGCGAGGAGTCGACTGGTTCCACTCCGGAGAGGGACCAGATCCCTTCCATGACTGCCGGCAGCGGTAGCACAATCATCAACGTCTCTCAAGATGGCCAGCAACCCAAGAGAAAGGGCGGCCGCAAGCCAGTCAGTGCCTCTCTATCTACTCTCCTTGTCACTCTCTACCCTCTACCTCTTCCTAGCATCATGACTTTTTCTTCTTCTTTTTAATAAAGACCCTACGACGACGCGGTAGTGCTGCTAGTCTATCTCGGATCTCACCCAATGCTACCCCTCACTCCTAACTACCCATTCTTCTGCCCTCCTCTTCTAGGGGCCAACCAACACCCATTCCTTATCAGCGCTATAATGCTATCTGGTAGGATGCCAACCACATGTACTACTACCTCCTATCACCTCACATAAAGGATACATGTATACATTCCCATACACTGGCACTACCAACGATAGCTTCGGTGCTGGCTTGTCTTATAAGACGGCCGCATGGGTGGTCATGGCTTGCTGCCCTTTCGGGCAACTCGCTTCAAACCCCCATGTTCCCCAAAGACAACAACATCATGAAATGGCTACCACTGCGTCCAAGCTAACATGTACTTCTCTCTCGCCAGATCTATGCGACATCTGAAGAACGCAAACAGCGCAATAGACAAGCCCAGGCTGCCTTTCGCGAGCGTCGCACCGAGTACATCAAGCAGCTGGAGGAAACCATTCGCGTCCATGAGTCCAACCTGCACAATCTACAGGCTGCGCACCGCACTGCCGCCGAAGAATGTCTGATGCTCCGCTACAAGAACTCGCTGCTCGAGCGCATCCTGCTTGAGAAGGGTAGGTTTCTATGTCACACATTCCATATGATCTCTTAACTGACACTGTCGACTCTTCAAGGCATCGATGTCCAAGCCGAGCTTCAAGCCAAAACCGGCAGTCCCAACTTGGCACCTACTCATATGCCACAGAACCTGGTACAGCCGCCTCCTCTCCAACGCACCATGATGCACCGGCACCATGCGCGCAAGTCTACTTCTAGCATTGCTCCCAAGACTGAGCCCGGCACCGCTCTTCCGCCGCCTCTACAGCCTCACAAGACTGCGCCATCTCCAAAGAATCGACCCGCGCCCTCATCTCACGCCAACTCTCCCAACACCGTGAGCTCGGCCTTTTCTCCTGCCGCCTCGGATACCATGTCCATGAGAGGATCCATCTCTGGGCTATCTCGTCAGCAGATGACTCCCATTTCCATCACAACGCCCTCGGCGAGGCAGCCAATGATGCAAACTGGGACGCGTGGGGCGATGGGCTCCGGCGCCTCTTTCTATCCGACACCCTCATTCCAGAATCACATTGAGCAACTAGGTAAGATGGACATGCAGAGCTGAGGGGATTTCTTTTTTATATATTTACTAATGTTTTCCTGTATAGAGCAAGAATATGAAGCTGATATGGTCGATGATTCGGAGATTGAGACACCCAGTGGCCCCGGCCCGTACCCAGGCGGCTTCAACGGCGAACAACAACCGATGCTTCTTTCGCCAGCTTCCACCGGGCCAGGACACCAAGTGACGGCGGGCTCTCAGTATCCCTCGATGACACAGCTGTTGGACCAGCAACCTGACTGGGACCCCTTTGGCCTCAGCGCCAGCATGGCTTTCCCGAATCAGCCGTTTCAATTCGATCAGACACACATGAGGTGATTGACCATTACACGGCCTCCGCGGATAGCCTAACGATGTCGGCATTGTCTATGAAGCGGTGATACGACGGAGGTCGCCTTGTCCCTCCTGGGACGAATTCTACACTCCCTCAGAGCTGGAATGCATTTTCCCTCTTCTCCTTCAGCATTTGTTCTTGGGAGTGCATTGGCATGGCATGGCATGGCTCGTCCATCCCAAGGCTAAACTCGGTGCGTGGGCTCGCAGTGTCCTGAGGTAGATGACCAACCATCAGACCTCTTAGGCAGGGATGGTACGACACGCTCGTCCAAACGCTCGGTTTCCAAGAACGAGATACTGCTTTGCGGTCCCCCTTTGCCTGGTAGTCCTGGGTCCTAGTACCTGGCTCGGCGTAGACGGGGTTGTGGAGAACGAGAATCGAGATGTTTCGTAGAGTTGTTTAAACTCCGCTCGTTCCAACAACCCCGGTTGCGCCAAGGCTTACGACCAAGGGTAACAACAAAAACACAGCTACTACTAGCACTACTCTAAAAGGGCATTCAAACAAGGAATACACCACGATTACCGAAAGGTTATGCCTCGCATATTACATGATTTGAGTCATGGCCCCCAAATATCTTTTTATTATACGTTTTAACTTTTAGCCCCTCGATGTACGAAGTAAAGAAGCATCACTTTGGTGGCATGGGCCATGTCTTTGGGCAATTCTTTTTCAAAGCCCGGTCCGAGGAGGACGACGTGGTGGATATACCCATTGTACCACTGGATTGGTGTTACTCAGCATTTTTAACACAAGGATGAAAAAAAAGGGGGGGGGTTATGGATTATGGTAATGAAAAGTTGTCTTTTTTTTTAAAAAAAATATTATGTATCATTGTATGTTACTGGCGGTCATGGAAAAAGAGATGCGAAAAAAATCGAAAAAAGGAGACCGGAAGTTTCCGTGGGACCGCAGCAAGGACCCGTGAGGTTGGATAGCATGATTTTAAACGAATACAGCGCATGTAAGCTTACCTTGGGCTTTAGTCTATGAATTTATGTGTCATGAAGCTTAGTTTCAGTTGTATGTCCACGTTGTTCTTATTTGGTGTGTGGGTCTGGTCAGGCTTATGCGACAAACGAAGACCGCAAATATCATTAGAAATGAGGCTGGCGTGAGATATTTAATATATATAAATATACATATATGTACGTATCGAGTTATGTATCTCCGTCGGATCGCGAGTGAGAAAAGTGAAGGCGTCCGCATTTTTGGATAGTCAGATCCAAGTCACAGGGGACAAGGCGTAGAGTAGTGTCGTGTCAGATCCGTAATATTACCCCGTGCCTCGGCGGTATTCCTTGTATATACGCACATTGAGCGGGCTCAGGACAGGACGGCAGGCTTTGGATCCTTGTTGTGAGAGATCAACAGGACGTCTGCCTGTTATTCCACAGAAGACAAGGAAGTGGATGCTGTTTCCTCCGCTTAGAGGTGAGAATTCAGGGGCTGTTCAGCATGAAGTACTGAAGAACAAGATGGTTGGAGACGACACAATTGCATTCAACTTATATGTCTTGTAGCAGCATTGGTGAGCCGCTTTATGCTTCTGTAATAGTGATCTCACTAGAGGGCTTGTCCTATTAGCTGGTTTACGAGTGGTGGCAGCTTTAAAGAGATAATGACAGGAGGACAATGGCCTGTATGGGCGAACCTGGAACTACATCCAACATCTACTGATATCATGTGCCCCTGTTGTGTTACATCTGCAAGAGGCTGTTGCAAACAGAGTATATACAAATGAAAAATGACATGAAATCGTCGACGTAGGTCGTGAGTACGGAGTAATGTATCGTAAACCATAAATGCTACGCTCCCATCCCACAAGTAAGCCGTACAAGGGCTGCTTCAACAACTGGTATTACACTCGGTCTTAGGAACCGAGGCGTCCATGTTCTGACACCTCGTGTTTCTCATCAGCAATCCCAAGTCTTCATCCACAGTTCAGGCACAGCCCAGCTCTGATCCATACCGACGGGCGCCTGAGCAAGGTTCAAAGGATCCTTTTGACCCCGTTCAAACCGCCACGAGCCAGACGAGACTCCCAACAAGCAGGGCCCACGCCCATGCCATGCCATTTGGCGCGTCAGCACCGGCTATCCGCGTGGCTGTGCTACTACTACTATTCCACAGCATAGTGGCGACTCCCGCTTCCGCGACGTCGTCGATGCTGCACACGACCTTGCAGGTGCGGGACGAGGAGTCTCGCCGCCGGAGCAGTTCTCCCCTGGGGCCGGCGTCGCGGCTCCGGAAGCGACTGGGATCCCTCCTTGTCGTCGTCGTCGTCGTCGAGGCGGAGGTGTTGTATATCATCTCGATCCACTGGATCTGCAGGTTCGCCTGGTCGTACACAGTCATGTTTCCGCTCCAGCTTCCGCCGTCGCTCCACGCGTTGAAGTTGATGCCCGAGGCTTCCTGGGGCACCTGAAAGGTGATGTTGGCGAGCTGCTGGCCGTCTACATACCAGACGCTGCTCTGTGAGGTCCAGTCGAGCCGGTACACGGCCCATTGGCTCCAGATCGTGTGATCCGGCAGCGTGACGTTGCGTGTGGCATTTGGATTCACATGGCCGTTGCTGTCAAAGGACGGCTGGTTTGTAATCTGAACTCTTTCCCGCGGCCCGCGAGTCAGGACTTCAAAGTCTGCTTCTTGCACGTTTGATGTCGCGGTGGCATCTCGGTATGTGAACATGGCGGTTACGGCTCCGGGGCCGCCGGTTGTTCGGGCCAGCATACGCAGAGACACGAACTGGTAGTCCGACGTCTTTGTCTGGAAAGCTGCTGCAGTTTGGAACTTGGGAAGACGCTGAGTTCGAAGCGTCATGTACGTGTCCGATGCGGCGTCGCTGTCGTTGTTCTTTTGAATGTACACATTGCTTGGAGAGTTGACCATTAGAGCCGCCGCCGCCCCGGACAGGCCCTTGCCTTTGCCCTCGCTGTTGCTCCATCCCTGAAGCTGCCAGACACTCGTCCATTCGTCATCGGAAAAGTACTCGCTCGTAGGAGGGGCTATCGTTGCCAGAGTCTCGTTGGTGATGAGCGCTGGGACGCCGGCGTCCTTTGTCAGATTCCGAAAGTCGAAGAACATGTGATTGGAGAAGTAGCTGGGCTGCGTGCCATTGGATAGGAAGCAGTCACAGACGGAATCACCATTTGGCAGAGGCTGGGGGCTACTGTTCTCGTCCTGGCCGGCGGAGGCGATGCATGATGGCACGAGGATGGAGATTACAAGTGGTGAGATGGGGGAGAGTGGCGGCCAATGCATGTTGATGAGCCGTTGGAAAAGTACGGCTTACTGAGGGGAGGGAAAAAAGGAAACTGAAATTGAAAAACGAGAAGGAAATGGTGAGAGCATACGAAAAATGAAGGATGCAGTTTCAATGCGAATAGCTTCCCAAAGCTCTACCTTGTTGGCATGTAGACAAACAGCGGACATCAAGACATGCTGCTTCATGGCCCAAAGGAAAAAGAAAAAGAGCGTGAGAAAGGCGGAAGAAAGGAGATGAGAAGCATTGGCCAGGATCTGCCGTCCATGCCTATTTGCGCATGTACGAGCATGCAGTAATGTGGGCTCTTCAACTTACGGGAGCAGGTGAACTGATCACCGTTGGGTCGTCGCATGGGCTCGTATTCTGCAGCCCAGGGAGCGGCTTGGGATGAGGTTGAGCGTTGCATCATCTTGTGAGGCCTGAGGACTGACTAGCCCGAGCCAGAGAGCTGTCAAGAGCAGCGCTAAAAAAGAAAATACTAGCAGCATCTTGATCAAATTGGATCAATTGTATCAGGTTCTCTTTTTTTCCCGGCCCTTGGCATCAGCAGCTACTAATCACCCAACTTTTTACATCCTGTTACGATGCTCCAGAGAAACAAGGCACTAACCATGAATTTTAACGTTCCGTCTTGCCGTCTTCCCGAGCGGGCATCAGATCAGTGATCCAATTCCGGATTATTAATGTTCCCTCCCAAGGCTGAAATGCCCCATCCATCTGCCCACCCGTCACCCTGCTCCTTGCATATTACACACATACAGGCTCCTTCATCCCTACAACATTGGAAACATTTACTGCCAATATCTCAAGGTAGCAGTGGTGCCAAGGCTGCATCACAACAGTTGCGAGAAAAGAAAAGGCGCGCGACAAAATACTATTCAGGTACTTACTTGTTGCTCGTGCGACGCGAAAAGGCGGAACAATACAAAGCGAGCCTATAGCAATTGTGCCTTGTCCAAACCTACCTCTTTGTCCCCGCCTGCTAAGCTCTAGGTGCATAAGTATCATGTTGATCATGGCGTTTTCAGGATACTCACGGTTGCAGATGATTACAGGTACAACAAGAACAAGAGCAAGAGCAAGATAACGCAAAGACGACTGCCTGGGTGCGCTATTTTTCTTGAATCCAACATGTCGTCGCCAAGAACCGCCGCCACAACTACACATGAGCCAGAGGCTGGGTCTGAGTCGCCGGCTGTAGTCGTGGACTCTGTTCAAGAAGCCACAAGGGATGATCGTGTCGACGACGACTCCGAACTCGAGGCTGGAGAGGTGACCGAGGAAGATGCGTCTGACGTAGAAAAGAGGGCCAGCGATGCCGACGAGTCTCCTGAAGAATCACCATCCCCCGATGCCGATGCCGCTGGTGCTGGAGAGGCGCCGCCGCTGCCGAATGAAGCTGTCCCCGGTGGTCCGCCTTTGCCAGCTGAGCCGGTGCCGCAGCAGCCAGGGGACGACGGATGGGATTGCCAGTGGGATGCGACTAGCCAGGCCTGGTTTTTCTACAACCGTTTCACGGGCAAGACCCAGTGGGAAAACCCTCGAGTCCCTGACGCTGCTGGCACTGCTGGTGCTGCCCCCGACGGTACAACCTCACAAGGGGCAGAACCTCAGCCGCCTTCCCACGAGAAGCCCGTTGCTGGAGGCTACAACCCCGCCATTCACGGCGACTATGATCCCAATGCATGGTACGCCAAGAACGAGGAGGACGAGAGTGCATCTGCCGCCTTGGCTGGCGATCCTGCTGCCGTATATGCCGCTACGGTTTCCTTTAACCGCTTCACTGGCAACTTTCAGTCTGGCGAGGCAGGCCCCGAGCGGCATTCCGACGAAGCAAAATCTAGGCGTCAGATGAACGCATACTTTGACGTGGATGCCGCGGCAAATGCTCACGGGGGCCGCAGCTTAAAAGCCGAGCGGTCAAACAAGAAGCCGACCAAGAACGAGCTCAAGGCGTTTAAAGAGAAGCGTCGCGCGAGGAAGGAAGAGAAACGCCGAGCTTGGCTACGCGACTGAGGCGCTCCCTTGGCGGTATCTGAGAGATGGTACGTTAGTTCGTTCTCATCTGGCCTGGTTTGATTCTCTTGCATCGCATACGTCTTCTTATCCCCGAGTTTTATATTCTTGAGGCTTTCCTCCCCCCCCTAACCAACATACTCGGCCTGAATTTCTCGAACAAACAAAGGCGTTGGAAAAGAATAAGGTGTCAAGGCTTACCATCTCTCTATTTTCTCTGTCTTGGCCGTTTCCTGTCATGGCCCAGCAATCTTTTGGTTGCCCTGTAGCCCCCGCCCCGTGTCTTACTATATTGTGCTGGATCTTTTTTCTTCAATTTCCTTCTTCTCCTTTCTTTGCATTTCTCGAGGGTGTTTATCATATTCTTCATTTTTAATCAGCAGGGTGGTTATGAGGTAGACTACGTCTTATTCTATGCAAATATACCCAATACAAGCTCATGCCACATTTCTCTGCCTTTTTCTTTTCTTCCGCCCTTTTCTTTTATAACCATCGTGTCATGCGAATTACTCGTCTTCATCCTCATCCTCCTCGTCCTCTTCCAGCTCCATATTAAGGTGCACACTTCCATCACTATCGCTATCTGACTCTTCCTCACCCCTTTCCTCGCCCCCTTCCGTCTGCACCACGGCAGCAGCAGGCTCCTTCTTTTCGAGCTCTTGTCGCTTGGGATTAAGGGGGGCTTCAGACCCCTCGTGTTTTCTCTTGGGCGGAGAAACTGCCCTTTCTGTGTTTGATGCCCGAGGTTCGAAGGGATTGGGTGCGGTGATCGAGGCGGTGCTCTGGATCGGTAGATCGACTTTGGCGTCGGACGAGGCGGCTGCGTTCTCCGGGGATTTGTTCTCGGCGTCTTGATCTTGCATTTCTTCATCGCGCTGCTCTTCGTCTACTTCCTCATTCTCCTCTTCAATTTGCTGCAGCTCGGCAACTTCGCTTAGCGAGGCAAACATTTCGCTTCCGCTGCCCGCAACGGCACTAGTGCGGAGGTTGCTGCGCAGTATCTCCAGGCCTTGGTCGTGCGGGAAGAGCTGCGACAAATGGGGCAGAATGCTGGGATACATCCTGCCATGCTGGTCTCTATAGGGGTTGAGGACGCTGGCGAGCATAGCATCGCGGTTGCGTGTCAGGACGGCCGTCTTGTCGAGGTGGCCACGGAGGGCGGGCTTGAGATGAGACTGCGGGAGTTGGGCTAGGATGGTTGTAAGGAGCTCGTTGGCTCTGTCTCTGTGATCGGCTTCCAGGGTGGGTGCTTCAGTGGCGGCGGCCGCTGCTTGGGGTTGAAGGAAGAGGTCCGTGTTGACTGTTACGGCGCCGTTCTTTGTGCCTTTACCGGTGGTGGTGGCGGCGGGTTTCTCTGCAGGCTTCAAAAATCCGGCGTCTTGCTGTAAATCTCGACAGCATGCTCCAACGAGAGGGTCCAACATTTCTACAGCAGTTTTTGATAATGTCGGCCCGGCAAGCTGCAGTATAGTGTTCAAAGTGGTGTATCCCGCTATCCGGACTGATGGAATACTAATGCCGGACTTGAAGATGCGGATTAGGTGATCCAAGATTTCGGGGACCAAGGGTAGCATGTGCCTTTGAAGTCTTTGAAACAGAGCCATGACGAGCTTCATTGCCGCCACATGGATATCGGGCATCAAGCTCCATAGTTCCTCCTTTTCTTCTCTGCCAATGGCTGGGTTGGTTTCGACGGCTTGTTCCCAGGTCTGGGACTTTGAGAGTCGAGCGACCAGGCAAACTCTTGATATGGTGTCGATCAAGCCGCTAAGCGGGATGGCAACCGCAGCCTTGGTGGGATAGCTCAGCAAATCAGCCAAGAAGTGGAAGAGCCCAATCAACCGGTCAGCACCAGCCTCGAGGCCAGACCAGGAAGGCAGATGCTCGGCAGAGCTGCCTTGGCCATTTGGTTCTCCATCAACATCGGCTTTGGTCCGTGAGCGGCCACTGGTCGCCTCCCAAGACTCATCGACAGCTCGAAGGACTTGATCGGCGGTGACGTGAAATTCTTGAAGGATACCATCGACGAGCTTTGCCCATTCATCACTGCCGCCTGACTTGGCCGCAACGAAGTGAAGAGAGGCCACTAGACGCCTGGCAGCTCGCTGTACAGACTCCGGGACGGAGATTTCATCTGAACAAGTTGGAGCAAGGTAGACGCCGACGGCGGCCCGAACCTGGGCGCTGAAAGGGCGAAAGGTGGGAGGATATAGGGGGATCAGGGTTGAAAATGAGCTGCATATGGTTTCAATCAAGTTGGTAGGCGTAGATTCAGACTTTGTCTTGATAAGCTGCAGGCATGCCGTGCCAAACGTAGGAAGAAAGGGTGTGGCGACCTCTCGCACGAGGGTTTGGTAAGGATGAACCAGCATGAAAATCTTGGTGAGAGTCACGACTGCCAGTTCTTTGGACGCCGCAGGATCAGCTTTCTGAGGCATGTATTAGTTTGTTGAATTCCATCATCCATAGGAGAATCATCAAAGTGTGAAATAGTTGAGTAACGCACCTGTACAATCGAGAGCAGTCCGCGCACCCAGGCCTCAGAGCCGCGGAGAGTTTCCCAACCACCAACGTCGACAGCAGCCTTGATTAGGCCAATGGCAGCGAGTCTGCCCTCGCGACTTCGGCCATTCAAGTGGGTGGTAATGCTAGTCTTGAGCTTGTGCACAAGCATGGAGGTCTGAGACGCATCGCCTTTGGCTTTCGGATCCTGAGGGGCGGACAGCGCATCGCGGCATCGAAGAACATGGCGGATGAGAGAAGGGAGGGAGTGAGGGAGCTGCGCCGGCGGGATGGATGTGAGTTTCCGGGTGAGGACCCGAAGGTCTGTGGAAGCTGAAGAGGACATTTTCGGAGTGGGAAGATGTCGGATATAATGAGATGAGATGAGGTGATAAGAGGTGAGATGGCAGAGTTCTCAAAAGATGTTGATCTGAGTGACACCAGCAGGGAGAGAGACAAGATGCGATGTCAACAAGCT